AAAATAAACTTAGTACAATTATTTGTCCTTGCTGTCAGGATAAACATAGTCTATATTACTGTTCTAAATTTGATACAATGACTCCGGAACAAAGAAAATCCTTTGTTTTTCAACATAAACTCTGCTTTAATTGTTTAAGAACTCATCATATTTCAAAATGCATTTCACAAAGTGTATGCAGAGTATGTCGTGGCCGACACCATACAAAGCTACACATCTCATCCGATCAACTGAAACCTTACCCAAAAGATAATGAAGTTGCTGTGTCGACAGTGGGTTCCATAGCTCAACTTCAATCTATCCATGGTGTCGAATGTAAATCCACTATGATTTTGGGTACTGCTATTGTCAGTGTACGAGATGTCAATGGATATTACCATTCAGCTCGTGCTCTCATCGACAATGGTTCTCAGGTTTCAATTGTAACCGAAAATCTTGCACAACAACTTAGACTGCCACGTTCACCGTCTAGCAGTGTTCTTGGTTTAGGTGCTTCATCAGCTCAGCATAGTCGAGGAATGATACACTGCAACATAAAATCTTTTATGGATCCTACCAAGACCATATCAACTAATTGTATCATCCTAAAACGCATAACAGGTAATCTCCCATCAGTTATGGTAAATAAATGCATTTTAGATAAATGCAAAAACTTAGTCTTGGCTGATAACAACTTTTCAATGCCGGGAAAAATAGATGTTCTTTTAGGTGTTGACTGTTTTAATAAAATTATTGATGGTGAACAACGTAGCCTGGGTGAAGACATGCCCACTGCGCATTCATCCATCTTAGGTTGGATCATCATGGGCAAGGCTCCCACAGCATCGCAGCAGACATGTGGTGTGGTCTCCATGGCCTGTACCACAGATATTAATTTTAACCTTTCAAGGTTCTGGGAATCTGAGGAACCTCCCAGTCAACCTATACAAGATCCTGAAAACATTATTTGTGAAAAACACTTCACTAACACTCACACAAGGGATAGCACTGGTCGTTTCATCGTGCGGTTACCTTTCAAAGTGGATCATTATACATAAGCCTTTGGGTGAAACACACACCACCGCCTTAAAGCGATTTCATCATTTGGAGCGTCGCATGCTTAAGGATGAGAAGTTGCATGAACTTTATGTTGCCTTTATGAGGGATTACATTGAAGCTGGCCATATGCGTCAAGTGTCAGGTCCAGTATCAAGTGACCGATATTATATTCCCCATCATGGTGTGCTACGTGAACACAGTAGTACCACAAAACTTCGTGCTGTATATGATGCATCAGCCTCTAGCTCTACAGGTGTTTCACTTAATCAGGTACTTATGTCCGGTCCCAAACTTCAAAAAAATATTGAAGATATTATTTTGCGATTTCGACTCCACAAAATTGTCTTCACATGCGACATAAAACAAATGTATCGACAGGTGCGCATGCATGATGACGACTGCAGATACCAAACTATCTTCTGGCGCGCTTCTCCTGCTGAATCCTTGAAGCAGTACGAGTTAACTACCGTAACATACGGCGTCACGAGCTCTGCTTATCAAGCTATTCGCGTCATTCACGAGTTAGCTCATTTAAATACTAGCCAATATGCTGAGGCTTGTAGGGTGTTGCTAGCAGATACATTCGTAGATGATATAGTTAGTGGGTCTCATTGTCTTGATTCTGCTCAGCAATTGCAGCAAAATCTGGTTGCCATTCTCTCTCAAGGCGGTTTCGATTTGCGCAAGTGGTCAAGCAACTCAAAGGAGTTCTTGGAATCTTTCACCTCCGATCATTGCGAGCCACCATACCGTTTCGAGGAGCAGGGTGACATCTTCAAAATTCTGGGCATCGAATGGAACGCAAAAACGGATAGCTTCATCTATCATGTCTCAAACATGAGTAATGTCATGACCATGCGTGGCGTTTTGTCTAACATCGCGAGACTTTACGATCCATGTGGATTTTTAGCTCCTGTCACTTTCTACGCCAAGCACCTTATGCAACAGCTGTGGTCAACACAAAAGAGTTGGGACGATCCACTTCCCCCTGCTATACAAAAATCTTGGTCGGAATTAATAGCAGATTTTCCTCATCTTAATAAAGTATCTATATCACGTTACGTTATCACTGATCAACCGTTTGTATGTCAATTGCACGGTTTCAGTGATGCGTCCGAGCGCGGGTATGCCGCTTGCATCTATCTGCGTATTCAAAATACTCATGGTAATTATGTTAAATTATTACTTGCAAAATCACGGGTAGCACCACTCAAACAAAAACTAACTATTCCCAAATTGGAATTAAACGGTGCACTTTTACTCATTCGCTTAACCAAACACGTGTTTGACATTTTAAATGTCAAAATGTCAATCACTACTGTCATTGCTTGGTGTGATTCGAACATAGTCCTATCGTGGCTTAAAACTTCACCTCACAAACTTCAAACTTATGAAGGGAACCGTGTATCCCAAATCCAAAATTTATTTTCCAATGTCACGTGGAAACACGTACCGTCCATGATGAATCCAGCTGATCCGCCTTACTCCTACTGAATTAGTTGATCATCCCCTATGGTGGTGTCCATCATGGCTTGAAATGGACGATTCAACATGGCCTAATGAATCATCAGAACTTAGCGAAGCCGACTTGCCTGGTGTACGGTCCTCCTATCCTGCAGCTTATGTCACGCATACTATTACGGAGCCTCCTTTTCTCACCAAGTACAGCTCGTTTACCAAGTTACGATGTATAGTAGCTTGGTGCAAACGTTTCTGTCGCAATCTACGCAAGCCTTCACAACGAAGAACTGGACCAATTAGTGTGGCCGAGTTGATTGATAGCACTCACACTATCATTCGATTGGTTCAGTCTTCGGAATTCTCTGGAACAATTAAAAGGCTACAGGAAAACAAATCTATTAAAGGTGGTCTCATGAGACTTAATTTATTTCTCGACAACATCGGTCTCGTAAGAGTAGGTGGAAGGCTTACCAATTCTAATTTGCCGTACCACACAAGGCATCCATTGCTACTTCCTAAGGCACACCACGTGACACGATTGATAATTGACTATTATCATCATGTCTTTTTACATCCTAGTCTAAATTCCCTTCTAAATTTATTACAAAAATACTTTTGGATTTTATCAGCGCGTCGAATTGTCCGCCAACAAATTTTTCGTTGTCAACGTTGTTATAGATCACGACCTAGATCTATTGAACCGTTTATGGGAGATCTACCCTCCCACCGAGTAACATCCTGTCGACCTTTTCAAAAGGTTGGGATCGATTTTGCGGGCCCGTTTTTCTTAAAAACTTCTCGTATCCGAAACGCCAAGTCCGTAAAATCGTATCTCTGTATTTTTGTATGTTTTACAACCAATTGTGTTCATCTGGAAATTGTTTCAGAGTTGTCTACTGAAGCGTTTCTTGCATGCTTCGATCGGTTTGTTTCTCGTAGGGGACTTCCTAGCGACGTATTTAGCGATTGCGGTACCAATTTTGTTGGTGCTCGGAATTATCTAAAAGATGTTACGCAACATATTATAAATTCTCATGAGGAAATCCATAAATATTTAGCTCATCAACAAATAGTTTGGCATTTGAATCCTCCCGCCAGTCCACACATGGGTGGTTTATGGGAGAGTGCTGTTCGCTCTGCCAAATTAATCATTACTCGTGTAATTGGCGATCGCTCACTGGTCTACGAAGAATTAGCTACCATCTTCACTAAAGTAGAGGCTGCTCTAAATTCACGTCCTTTAGTACCTATGACAAATGATCCAAATGACCTAGACGTTTTAACTCCTGGCCATTTTATCATCGGTAAACCTCTTCAGGCATTACCTGAAGAAGAAATAATAGAATCAAATCTTCTCAAGCGTTGGCAGTTAGTACGGCAAATAACTCAGCATTTTTGGAAGCGTTGGCAATCCGAATATCTTCATACATTACAACAGCGACCCAAATGGCTTGCTAAACTACCTAACGTTCAAGTAGGCGATTTGGTTTTGCTGAAAGATCCCGGTTTGCCACCATTTCGTTGGAAAATTGCTAGGGTAACTAAAATTTGTCCAGGTTCTGACGGTACTGTTAGGGTGGTAGAGTTGAAAACTTCTACTGGTACGTTACTTCGACCAGTAGTCAAGATTTGTCCATTATTACCTTGTGCCTAAAGCCGATCATTATTCTTATGCTATCGAACCTTAGCTTATAGTATTATTAGTTTAGTTACATCTCATTATTATTATTATTTTTTTTTTATATAGTTAACATTGTTGGGAACCTTTGCAGTTTCATATCTTACTTTTTTTTTTATTCTCTAAAGAGCTTAGAGGCTCTTTGGGGGGCGGTATGGTTGATATAAATCTACTAATTTCTAGCCAACTTGCAATATGTTACTACCCTAAATCCTACTCCTATTTTTATCCACCAAATCTGGGGGTAGCATCAACAAAATGAGTCGTTCGTTGTACGTCGCGTCGAGCACACGCAAATCAACATATTCTCCGCGAATCAACGTTAACGGAACCATCAGCCGCGATCTTCGCGCAATCATCTGATTAGTACATCATCCAGTGAAATTCATCGTAGTGTTGTGCGTTTTTAAAGTGAAACGGCTACGCGTATAATAAGACCTGCACGCGGGGACGACACGAACCAGGTTGGTCCTTAGTTTCCCTTTTTTACCCAACACATAGAAACAATCAATCATTCTCATGAATACAAAAGTTTGCACCGTGCGAGGAATCGAACCAGACAATCAGAATTAAAGTCAAACCGCTAGACCGGCCATGCTGGCCAACTGTGATCTATGGTATGTGATGTAGTGGTAGAAATATCCTTGCTAAATATATAAATAATATACAGAGAAAACACCGGATACAATTAATCATACTCATAAATACAAAAGTTTGCACCGTGCGAAGAATCGAACCAGACAATCAGAATTAAAGCGATGTGCTACCGAGGCCGTCGGCCGAGTGGTGTGGGCATGTAGGTGGTACATATAGGTGGTGGTACCTGGGCGGCCATCTCCGTGCTGAACTGGTACTTGTGGTCGCGGTGGTGCTGCAGCTGGCAGTCCCGGCACGTCAGACGGTCACACGTCTCGCAGAACAGCGACAGCCGCTCCTGTTTCACACAACACGTGTATAACTTGTATTACTAAATCCCATCAAAAACATAAATGTGAAATGATAGCCGAGTTTAATATTATGATATATGCCTTGATTGTTGACTTCTAAGACAAAAGAGGTGAGATCCAAATGGGTGCCAAGTTCAATGGTATGTCCTGATATGTATTTATAACAATACATAATATCATTTCTTCTTATAACTTAGGATAATTTACTGTAGTCTAAGATCTAACTTGGCCAGTTCTCATATACCAATTATTACTTTCGATTGCTAGTTACTACTAATAATAAAATAGGAACCGACAAGTAACTGTTGTAAATGTTTAGAACTTGCGAAGGCTACAGTATATTTCGTATATGAAAACTAGCCAAGTGAGACCTTAGGCTACAGTATATTTTCGTTTATATTCACCTAATTACCTATCTGCATGCCAAATTTGAACTTCCTAGGTCATCTGGAAGTGGGTTATAATTTTGATCTATAGTTGATCAGTGATAAAAATGACGATATTTGGACGTTAATATCTAAATAACCGTTTGAGATATGTTTATGAAATTTGGAACACATATTTATGTCACAAGTCTCAATATATGAACCAAATTTGACAGGTTTATGTGAAAGAGTTTTTGAGTTATGAGGGGGTCAAAAGTGGCTCCAAATGGTTCGTGTAAATATACACACGGTGCTGCTCGCCAGTTACTTGAAACTCGGCTTGACACGCTACCGCGTGTCTAGATTAAACATTATTAAGCTGACACGCGAAACTTCAAACGATGCGATATTTACCCCGCTTTTGCGACATATTTCAGCTCTAGCATTTGTATATTTGAAAGCCGCTTAAAAAAATATTACCATTCACAATGGCGTATTATTATACATATATATGTATTACAATTATATATTAACTGATACCTTATATATTATTTATGTATGTCTACATAATCATATATTTGTGGATGTTTATTCCTTCTTACAGTGTGACTTATTATCTATACATATAAATAAAATTGGAGTGCCCGTTTGTAATATTGAAATAGCCGTGTTTTACTACATGCATATAAATATAAATACGGTATATACACCAAAAAACCACTTTTTAAAATTTTTGTCTGTCTGTCTGTCGGTCTGTTTGTTCCGGCTAATCTCTGAATTGACTGGACCGATTTTAACGGGACTTTTTTTTGGCAGATAGCTGATGTAACAAGAAGTAAATTAGGCTACTTTTATTTTAGAAAAAATGAAGTTAAATTCCATGCGGACGAAGTTGCGGGTGCAGCTAGTCATTTATATAATTTTAATGTCTTCCTTTCACTTTTTTTCTTTTCTCGTACACGTATGTATGGCTGATCTAGTGACCACATTATCTTATAACATTTTCTAGGTTTGCTGGAAGAAATCTCTTTTTAGAGATAAGCTCGCCCTTGTACATCACATTTATTTTATTACTGTTATTTTTTATCTGTGTGTGTACAATAAAGAATAAATATTATTTCATTGCAGCTTCGCTCCTATTGGTAGTATTATAACATATACGTTACAAAGCAACTAACACCCGCCATAAATGTGCCATGTAGTGTGATTGCACCCTAGAACCTTACAAAATGTACACGTTGGCCTCTGGTGTGTACAGTGAGTTGAGAGGTGGCAGTGTGCGGTACCTGCACGTGGTCGCGGCAGTACATGTCGCGTGTGTACAGTGAGTTGAGAGGTGGCAGTGTGCGGTACCTGCACGTGGTCGCGGCAGTACATATCGTGTGCGGACCGCGGCGGTTGTGCAGCTCCCAGCTCCGCGGCGGCCTCGTCCTTAGACTTGATCGTGTGGTCTTTAGTGATCTTTAACCTGCGATCAAATACACCGACATTACTTGAATGACGAGCGTATATAATTATATATACGCTCGTCATTCAAGGGCTATAATTGTTCATGCACGGGATTTTCATTTAATGTTAGACATAGACACCTATATAAATATACAGTGTACATAAAACTGGCTTTAAAAAAAAAAGTAATTCAATTGAGTTTCTTGTCAGTTCTTCTCAAATGGATCTATATATTGAATTGGACGGTAGAAAAAAAATATATTATAAAAAATTTGACGTTTATGTACGGCTAAAATGTCTTGCATGATTAAATGATTTTTTACATATATCATATATCACAATAGCTGCTTTTCACGTACGCTCTTTCAGACAGGAAAGAATGTGCATGTAAATGTAGACAAACGGTAGAACGACTGTTCGGTAAGTCACTGTACAGCCGTCAGCATTTTACACCGCTCCGCGTCCATATATACGCCCCACACACACCATTTTCCCTTCAGTACACAAATACTTACAAGCAAGCCACACTCAATCATCATGTACTCAATAAATCAAGTTGGAAAGCAGCCCGGACTTATAATTTATACATCATTGCATCCCGATTGTGCGATTCACAACCAAGGGCGGATCTACCTAAGGGCTTTTTGAGCTGCAGCCCAGAACCCCCAGGATATAGAGGGCCCCCAGTCCCCACTGAAACGATATTTAGAATACAAAAAAATATCTAGAATTTTAAAAAACTTATCTTAAGGTTGGCAACCCTGAGATCAAATCAAATCAAAATCAAGATCAAATCAAACCATGCAAGTGCGCGTCTATTGAAAGGAGCGGGAAATTTCTGGTTGCTTGTTTTTGGTGGGTGTATTTTTTTAGTTAAACAATATAATTATGTAGGCCCCTAAGTAGATTTAGCTCAGGACCCTACAAATTTACGATCCGCCCCTGTTCACAGCTGACTCATACAACAAGAGAGATCGCGCGCGTCGCTAGTGAGCGCATTTCCGCCTTCTTCAATCGTGCGTGCTTTAGCGCCTATTTTTAATTATCATTGCAAAATTGTGGACACCTGCCTAATTTATAAATCTTGAACGTGTCTCTGTAAAATCTATACATATATATAAAATTAGAGTGTCTGTTTGTAATATTGAAATAACCGTTTTTTACTACATGCTAATGAATTTATATGTGGTGCATAAACATTAACATTTTTTATAATTTTTCTCTGTCTGTCTGTCGGTCTGTTTGTTCCGGCTAATGTCTGAAATGGCTGGACCGATTTTGCATTTTTCGCAGGTAACTGACGTAATAAGGAGTAACTTAGGCTACTTTTATTTTTAAAATAATAAAATTCCACGCGGACGAAGTCGCGGGAACTGCTAGTGAATAATAAAGTTCTAGAAAATTAACTTTAGATACAGCTATTCGGAATAATACCTCTGGTGTGCGTGCACGCAGTTGTCGCAGATGTACTCTGCGCAGTCAACGCAGTAGCTGGTGGCCGGCTCCGTGTCCTCGCAGCTGTTGCACTGCTGCTCGCCGCTCGTCGCGCCTGCATCACCACCACCACACAAATATGTATTAGACAGACAGACAGAAAACACTTTATAGAAAAACTTTAAATCCATAGCACTGACAATATTATCTGATACAAATAATGAGTGCATAGCTATTTCTATGTTGATTATCGCATGCCTCTTACTTGTTATACTATAATTATTTATATAAAACATCTATTAAAAAGAGCAACACACTAACACACAACACACAACAAGTTTCTTGCTTCTTGTGATTAATCTGCATTCCGAATGAGTGGTAGAAACAAAATATGACTATTCAAAAGTGCTTGTAATGAGTTAATTTGAATAAAGATGTTGCGGACCACGAGTCGGCATCGAAAATATGTAAATAAATTTGTGTATAAATTTGTATTTTTCCAGTGTTTTGACTATTGTTTAGGTTAGACTATTGTTTGTACCATATACCCTTTGTAGCGGCATAGATACTGTGAATTCTATGTCCGCCCATTGTGTAAATTCTTAGGGATCACAGCTTTAGTGTAGCCTGAACATGTGGCATTTAGTCGCACGTGGTTTTTTGTAGTTTTTTGTGTTGTTACTATTGTATTTAATTTTAAATGTGTGCGTATTCGCTGTTCCGGCCCGTCGGTCACCGACATGTGCAGGAATTGTCGGGAGGGTGGGACGGCCGACGCGCACGGCTCGGCGGGGGTGGGGAAGGACGCGCTCGGGCGCCCGTAAAAGGCGGGTTGGTTCTCGATCGCGCTCTCTTACGCATACGCCACCGACGAAGAACCACCGCCGGCGCAACGACCAAGAAAACCCCACTCCGGCCGGCCGACCCATAGAATAAGAAACAAATTGAAATACAGTCCACATATTTTGAAAATCGAAGATCTTTTAATTGTGTACCCCAAAATTTTGTGGTCCTTCGAGCCGGATATCAAGACCGAAGATCACCCAACGGTGCGACGAATCGCCGTGGAAGATCACCCAACGGTGCGACGAATCGCCGCGGAAGATCACCCAACGGTGCGACGTACCTCGCCGCGGAAGATCACCCAACGGTGCGACGTACCTCGCCGAGGAAGATCACCCAACGGTGCGACGCTAGCAGCTTACCGAATTTAGCTGCCGTCGTAAGGTGAAAACTTGAGGGTGCAGCGAGGATAGGATAAATAACGTCTACGCCATATAGGATAGATAACGTCTAAGCGGTGTGTCCGCGGCTCACATCTCTTACCACCTAACGGTGTCAAACGGTCGGAGTGTGGGTTAACGCCATTGAGCGGTGCAGTGAGTGGTGTGTCACTGCCGGTTGTTGCTTGTTACCGTGGCGCAACCGAATAGCACTATTACGCCTGTACGTGTGTATCGTATAGCGGGGGCCGGACTGTAGGCACTGCCAAAGGGGTCGGAAAGTCCGAACCGGCCCTGAGCGCCCCGTCTGTACATACGCACCACTGCGGGGTAATTCCTACCCTCCTATCCCCATAGTCCATCCCCTCGGGTGTTATCCTGAGGGATTGTTAGGGACGGTTAGGTAGGTAGGGACCGGTAGGTTAGGGGCTTGCAAGTGCCAGAACACGATGCCGACTACGAGAAGCCAAGCCCCGGGAGCAGAGAAAAAGACCACGCGGGAAAATGAACAGACAGAAGCGTCCCCTTCAGAAACCACGCAGATGTCCGCGTCCGCCGCGCCGTCGAGCGCGCCACAGGTACAAGCCACCCGCGCCGCGTTTACCTCGGACTCCGCACCGGCGCCACCGTCGCAGCCGCCGACGACAGATGTACGTCCGGCCCGGGCCGCGTCGGTGCGATCGCGCCGGTCTACCGCTAGCGGTATAGCTAAATTAAAGAGGCTGGAGTACGAGGCAGCGCTACAGATGGCGAAATTACAGGCTGATTTAATTAGAAAGAAGTTGGCAGCCGATGTCGCCGCGGTACATGAAGAGACCGATAGAGATAGCGTGTGCTCCGAGGAAGGTACCGGCCTGCAACGTATAACGGATTGGTTTCAACGTACCGAAGTACGGGGGGAGCAGAGAATTAATTCCCCACCGCCTACGCAGAAAGAGCCAACAGAAAGGCAAGCTTCACCGCCGAGGACGCCGAAGCAAAGACGGAGGTCCCCCGCTCCTGAAGCCGGGATGCAAGAAGGATTCACCCGGCTGGCCAAAGCTATTGAACGAGCTGTGGACGAACGAGCGGATAGGGTAGCGCCGAGGCAAGCCCAAGATCTCCCGACCTTCAGCGGCGAAGCAAGTGAATGGCTAGCGTTTAAGGCGGCCGTAGACCAGTCTACAAAAACGTACAGGATCACACCAGCGGAGAACCTGGCCAGGCTGAGGGCCTGCTTACGTGGAAAAGCGAGAGAGACAGTCGCAGCGTTACTCGTATCCGCTACAGAACCGTCGCAGATCATGAGGACGTTGGAGCAGCGGTACGGCCGGACAGAGGCCATCATCGACCGCGCCCTCAAAGATCTGAGAAGGATGCCGGTAATAGGAACATCGACAACAGAGGTGATTGACTTCGCCATTAAACTACAGAACATCACCACCATCGTCGCGGATATCGACAGGGGGGCGAGATTCCTACATAATCCCGCGCTTGAGAGTGAAGTGTCAGAGTAGCTGACCCCTCACTTACAGGTCCACTGGTGTCACTACGCTGAAAAAAACAAGGAGGACACTAGACCTACGATCATCAAGATGGCAGAGTTTTTAATGAGCGAAGCCGATCTCATGACCCGACATCTGCGAATAGCATCACCAACGAGACGAACGAGCGCGCTACCCACGAAGCAGCCCACGAAGCAACCCATACCGAAAGCAACGATGTCGGCACCTCGGCGACAGATGACGGATCGTGGCGCGGCCGTATACGCCGCCGTAGAAAAGAGCGAACAGAGTACCGAATGTCTCTGTTGCGGCGCCGCACACGTAACGCCGAAGTGTAAGAAGCTGAACGACATGTCGTTATCGGACAGATGGGAGTGGGCGAAAACAAATAAGATGTGCTTCCAATGCATGAACAGCACGCACAGAAGGCTCAAGTGTAAGGCACGCAAATGTGGTGTGAGAGAGTGTCGTAAGCCACACCACGCCCTGCTGCACCCCCCAGAAGAACCGCCGAAGCGGCAAGAGGACACCGCGATTACAGCCGCAGCACGCTTGCCAGAGAACAGCCAAGTGTTGTTAAAGGTGTGTCCCATCATCGTGAAAGGCAAGACGGGACGCGAAGTAGAGACGTACGCGATGCTAGATGAAGGCTCGACGGTTACACTCATCGATGCGGAGATCGCAGAACAGATCGGAGCCGAAGGTCCGACGCGATCTCTGAGAATTCAGGGAGCGGCCTCGAGCTGGCACGAAGCCTCAAGCCGAGTGGCTGATGTCATCATCAGAGGGCGACACCATACGGACGAAGAACACTCGGTGAGGGCGCGTACGATCCGGGATCTCACCCTAGGAACGCAGCGAGTGAACCCGGAAATACTCGCGTACGGACACCTGCGACAACTCACTTGCGAGCAAGTGTGCTACGAAGATGCCAGACCCAAGGTCTTGATCGGGTCAGACAACTGGCATCTGATTGTTACGCGGAAGCTGCTCACAGGAAGGCACAATCAACCCGCAGCGTCGCTGACACGACTGGGATGGGTCATCCACGGAACGGTACCCAGAAGTGTCGTGGAAGACGAGGAACATGTCCTCCACGTGCGGTTGACACAGCGCAACGCCGAGCCAGACATGCGGCATATAGAGGGCATAATAAAAGCGCATTACGACATCGACGCGTTGGGTATATCGTCGAAGAGATTACCCATCGCTAAGGAGGAGCGCGCCGTCGCCACATTCAACCGCACAGCGACGAGAGTGGATGGGCGATACGTCGTAGGATTGCCGTGGGAGAGAGATAACGTCGCTCTACCTCCCAGCTACGATATGGCAGCGAGCCGACTGAGGGGAATAGAGCGGCGGATGGATCGCTCTACGGAATTCCGGCTGGCGTATACCGCGGAGATAAACAAGTTGTTGGACAAGGGTTACGCCGAGAAAGTAACCGACGACCGGTTCAACAACGACCGCGCGTGGTACCTTCCCCATTTCGGAGTGACGAATCCGAATAAACCCGGAAAGCTGCGACTCGTATTCGACGCCGCGGCCCGTTCGAAGGGAATGTGCTTGAACGACGTACTGCTGGATGGGCCAGATATGCTACGATCGCTTAACGGTGTGTTATACCGTTTCCGCGAGAAGCCCGTAGCTATCACGGCGGACATACGAGAGATGTTCCTGCAGATTAAGATACGGGAAGAAGATAGAGCAGCACAACAGTTTCTGTGGCGAGGAGATGACAGGATTAACCCGCCGCAGAAATACGTAATGACCTCAATGATTTTCGGGGCGAGGAGCTCACCGTTCATCGCACACAGCGTTCGAGACAGGAACGCGGCAGAGCACCGAGAGTCGCACCCGTCAGCGTACACCGCCATAACAAGGAACCACTACATGGACGACTGGGTCGATAGCTTTGACTCCGAAGAGGAAGCAGCCCGCGCCATTCGAGAGGTAGTAGAGGTTCATGGCGGGATAGGATTCACGCTGGCGGGTTGGAATACAAACCGACCGAGCCTGCTAGAGAATGTGAGTGAGGACCAGCGAGCGAGGACGCCGAAGGAACTGGGAGCCAACGCACATCCATACGGAAAGACATTGGGGTTATTGTGGATGTCAGCCGAAGACCAGCTGGCGTTCAACACCGGCATGCCACGCGTCCCACGAGAAGTGAAGCACGGCACACGGATACCGACGAAAAGGGAAGCCCTAGGAGCGGTGATGTCATTGTTCGACCCGCTCGGGCTGCTGAGCCCTTACACCATCACGGCAAAAATCATCTTGCAGGCGCTGTGGGTGCAGAAGGTCGAATGGGATGACCCTCTGCCCGCCGAGGAAGCGCGGATGTTCCAGGAATGGAGAGATGACTTAGCCTATATAGAGGAACTGAGATTGCCGCGATGGTATGGCACGAACGACAGCCAACGGTCGCAACTGCACGTATTCACGGACGCAAGCGAACAGGCATATGCCACAGCCGCGTATTGGAGGACGGAACGCGAGGATCGTAGCGTTAACGTCGTCCTGGTAGCAGCCAAAGCGAGGGTAGCGCCCATGAAAGCGCAGAGTATACCCCGGATGGAGCTTCAGGCGAGCCTGGTAGGACCCCGACTGGCCGCTGACGTACTGAAAGGACGTCGTCGCGCGGCCGAAGTCTTCCTATGGACGGTCTCGAAGAAGACGCTACATTGGACTAGGAACGACACCGCTCGATACAATCCACACGCGGCCCGCCGGATGGCAGAAAGCGCCGAACATACAGAACCAACACAGTGGCGCTGGGTACCGACCGCCCACGACGTAACTAACGACGCGACCCGCGCGAGATATACAATACGGACCGCCGCCGACAGATCCGTCGGGCCGGCGCTTGTATACGCTCCAGAGAAAGAACGACCCAAGGAAAGCAAGCCCGTCCCTGCAGAGACAGTAGCCCGTGTCCGGGCGAAGGCAAAGCCCGTAATGGACAGAATGCGGTTCTCCTCATATGACCGAGTGAGGAGGACTCCGGCACAGGTGCTGCTGGTCGCAGAAGAATACAGGCGACGGGCATGGAAGCTGGGCCGGGAGCGCCCCGCCGAAGCGGGGAAATGGGTCAAGTGGCGTTGCGGTGAACGCGGACGGACGGACGAACGCGAGGGAATTTTTCGAAGGCCGACCCGAAGGCTGGTGGTCCTCCCTAGGGATAAGGGCTGCGAAGATCTGCGCCGGGGGGAGGCTGTTGCGGACCACGAGTCGGCATCGAAAATATGTAAATAAATTTGTGTATAAATTTGTATTTTTCCAGTGTTTTGACTATTGTTTAGGTTAGACTATTGTTTGTACCATATACCCTTTGTAGCGGCATAGATACTGTGAATTCTATGTCCGCCCATTGTGTAAATTCTTAGGGATCACAGCTTTAGTGTAGCCTGAACATGTGGCATTTAGTCGCACGTGGTTTTTTGTAGTTTTTTGTGTTGTTACTATTGTATTAAATTTTAAATGTGTGCGTATTCGCTGTTCCGGCCCGTCGGTCACCGACATGTGCAGGAATTGTCGGGAGGGTGGGACGGCCGACGCGCACGGCTCGGCGGGGGTGGGGAAGGACGCGCTCGGGCGCCCGTAAAAGGCGGGTTGGTTCTCGATCGCGCTCTCTTACGCATACGCCACCGACGAAGAACCACCGCCGGCGCAACGACCAAGAAAACCCCACTCCGGCCGGCCGACCCATAGAATAAGAAACAAATTGAAATACAGTCCACATATTTTGAAAATCGAAGATCTTTTAATTGTGTACCCCACAAAAGATTATTTCTATTTCCATTTCTTTTATTTGCATTAAATGACACACAGAATGTACAGTAATATAAAGAGCAAATAAGACCAGAAAAAAGAGCAAATACATATATTACATTGGTCAGTTAATAATCTATACATATAAGACTGAGCCCTCAGACTAAAGTCGTATCCATCAGGCGGGAGATGGCCTTCAGCCGCTCCGTAAGTCCTTCCTTTGGTTTGGAGTGCCACCTGCACTCACCCCTATCGTCCGATGAAGCTGTAAAGGCCAGCTGTGGCCAACAGCATTAGAGTAGTCCGAAAATAAAAAAAGCATATGGGACTGATCACTAGATATGTATATTTACCATTGTTGCCCGTTTGTTCCAATGCCATTTTCTCTAATACAAATCTCTGGTCGATCATATTGGCTGGTTGACACTGCAGCCGACATGATGGACATGTTATTGTGATCCTTTCAGCGCCTGCAACATGCCAATTGAAATGGTCAACAAAAAGGTTTTCTAAGGTAATTATTTAATAATACTATCTATACATATAAATAAAATTGGAGTGTCTGTAATATTGAAATAACCGTTTTTTACTACATGCATATAATATATACTATATACAGTAAAATTTTGTACACTATATATTACTTATAGAGATGAAACGGATATCCGGTAACTATCCGGTATCCAGTCTATACGGTGGCATTAATACTATCCGACCGAATACCGGATAACTATTATTGGGTCGGACAAACATACGGCCGAATTAAAAAAAATCTGATTTAATTTTTTTTTAAGTAATAATTTGTTTTATTTAGTTAGTATTATATAAGGAATAAAATTAGGTTTAGTTTTAAATTTTTAATCACTTAATAGTAAATGACTGTTATAGAAAGAAAATGAATTTATTAGTTAGCTAAGTTCCGCCGAATATCCGGCGGCCGGATAGCGGCGGCGGCTATTCGGTCACATGGTTGGCCGAATATCGGTATCCTGCCAAACTGCTATCCGTTTTATTTCTAATTACTTATGCTAAGTTTCAAAGAACAGCTTGGTTGGACAAACCGACAAAACTTATTGTTTCGCATAAACATACCTAAAAAGTCACGAGAGCTAGCTGTTCTCTCTTCTATCTTAGCAGCTATGCAGGGTTCACAGGCAGAGTGGAGGCATTCCATGAGCTTGGGAGTGCCCTCGGTGAGCGCCAGTGCGGTCTGGCACAGCACGCAGCGCGCGGCCGACAGCGGGGGCCGCGCCGCGCTGGGAGACGCCAGCGAGTCGGCGCCGGCCTCCGGCTCCGAGCTGGCCGCGGCTGCGGCGCCCGCCCCGCCCGCCCCGCCCGCCCCGGCCGCCCCGGCGGCTGCGCCCCCGCTGCCAGACCCTGTACTCTCTGCCACTCCACCCACCTATTCATTTTTAATATCTACTGTATATCAGCTGTTTTGGCGATGAGTTTATTCACATCTTGTATTTAATAACAGTATATTAAATTGTGTTTACATTACAAAATTAAATAGGGGAAGGGCTTAGTAGTAATTGATTCTAATGGTCCCATTGCTAAAAGTGTACCATGTCAACTTGACCTTATTACCTTCCTTTTTACCTACCTACCTTTTACATTTTGTTAGCACATGAAACCTCTTGATGCAATTTATAAAAGCCATATAATTGTAATTAAAAATAAATTAAAAACTTCTTTTCTTTCTGTCAACATGGTCTTTCATTTATTATTAATTTTATTGATGTTAAATGCATTATAAATAGATCACAGTTAGAAACACTAACAAAATTAGGATGTTGCCTATAAATTAATACAGTACTACATGTTTGTGATGACTACAATGTTTGCTTCCTTTGTTTTAGATTCACTACATGTACAACGGCCAAGGAGAGAGGCTGATTGTGGAAAATAGAGTCAAATTTTTTAGATTCTCAACAAACTCAGATAACTATAAGTACTGATGACTACCCACAAATTATTAAACAATACTGAAAAAATCATCAGATAAAAAAATGAATATATCACTAGTGAGTTGCAGTAATGAAATATATATATAAATAATGAAAATGTATCTTGTGTCTAAAAGTTTTATTATTTTTATAATGTACAAGTAGTACATTATAAAAATAATAAAACTTTTACTAAACTCTATTTTTTAAATAGAATAACAGTAATGTTGTATATGGTTCTTCTAGATTGTAATAAGCTTCTGAATGAGATGAAAAACATATGAATAGTGTCTTATACATATGAATATATTTTGAGACAGATTTTGAGTGTATTAATACAAATATAAAGGCAATATCTAGGAAACTGATAACTACTGCCTGCACACAAAAAATTGTGTAATGCCAATGTCATCATTCATTCATTCATAAACTTAAGAGCAGCAGCAGCTCAGTCGGTGGAGCTTTTGCCACTTTCTACGATCTTCCATCATAATCTTTAAGCCATCATGTCTATTATGGATTAAAACACATTTATATTTTAGAATCATGTTTTTACTTTTTTGATAAAAAGTTATATTGATGGTGACAATAAAAGACACACAATTATTGTTATACAACAATGTCAGTTATAATATTGATATGCTAAGAAAAGGGTAAAATTGGACCACCTGTAGCAGAGCATCAGAGGAAGTATGAAAGTGGGCACCGGCATAGGAATGAGAATAATATTTTAAGAAAGGTGTTACATATGAATGTGGATGGTTATAAGGGCAGAGGAAGGCCGAAAAAGAGATGGATGGACTGTGTGAAAGATGATATGGTAAGAAAGGAAGTAAATAACGAGATGACTGCGAACAGGGATGAATGGAAGAGAAAAACATATTACGCCGACCAAATAAATGGGATAAGGAAGAAGCAGATGATGATGTAGCAGAGGCATTGAAGGTGATACCTCTTATATGAAATTGATTAAATTCATAATATTTTAACTGCAATTGTTGCTGACAGCTTGTCTACTATTCTTTTCATAAACTTTGTATGATTTTTAATAAAATAGTCATTGTGTTCCCTCTCCAGTAGTAGAAAATAATACAAGCATCAATAATGGCTATTCCAAAACACCATTATCATCATGTATTAAATACTAATTATCATATATTTAATTATTATTCCCTAAGAAATATTAAGGAGAGGTGTCATTCATGTTGAAAATAATTTTATTAAAATTTTAAGAATATTATATTAAACTGATTTAGTAGTTGATGATTGAATTCACATGCAATAAATATTAATAAATAAGGATTCACTATAATAATATTTTTATTACAATTTGTTTGCACACTTGTTGAACATGAAAATCTATCAGAATAATTAATTTGTATTGTAATAAAATTTGTATTAAAAATTTACAATACACTAACACAACTTTACAATTTTGTAATATTTTTTAGTGCAATTACAAAATTATTACACATAATCATGTTTTATTACAACTAATATTACAGTTATTAACCAGTTATTCACTAAACTAAAATTGTTATTAATAACAATGTAATTATCCATAATATTTTTCATGCACAGATACTTTCTACTTCTCTGTCTTATATAGGAATGCGTTGTTCTGTGGAAAAGTGATGATTTCACTAGATGTTGACAAACTTTCTACTGTCGACAGTGTAAGTGAACGTAAACTTACGCTAAGGGTGGACGGCGGTCCCGCAGTAGCATCAGGCAGTTCATCCTGTACCTCTTCCTTGATGGAAACACCAAGCAGCGGGCCGAGGTCCATTAACGCCCGCTCTATCTCCTCGCCACTCGGCTGATAGTTTACGTTTTCCATGAACACTGCACTTCACTCTCTACTCTATGTCTCTATATTTACACATTTTCTTTGAGATCATAGAAGGTTCACCAGAAAACTTTCACTAGCCACTTTGAAGGCTTTGGCACGTAGACATAGCTAATTGAGCACTTATCGCGATTAAGATAAATTAACCGATGTCCAAGGATTTGCTCCTTCTATCAATAACAATTCTAGACTATTACAAGTTTAAATACATTTGTTACATTCGTAATCATTTGTCAGCCGTAAAATTAGTCTTAATATTATCAAGCTAATGAAAAATATTTTTTGAAAAATATAACATGCGTCCTTTCGGATCAGACAACCATCAAGTCATAGAGTAATTTTCTTTACTTCGATATACGAATTTCTTGACTTTTAACCACAGACAAACAAATTACCATTGATTTCACATAAAACATCGATTTTAAAATAGCGTTATATTTAAACATTAAAATTAATTTTCTAAAGCACTGCATTATGAAAAAAATGCCTATATTATATACTTTTAGTACTTATTATTGAATAAATTCATTCACTAGCATCCTATGATTGTGTTTATGTTAAGAATAATTTTCCTTAAAAAAGGTTTTTTTGTTGATAAACATTAGATTTTAGCAGTAAAGTATATCTATAAATTTTTAGACTTGTGGCTAAACTACTGTTTTGGTACGCGTTTGTCATTATTACTCATTATAAGAACTTACTTTTATGTATACTGTGCAACTATTAATATTCCGCTGTCAAAGAACAATTGACATATGACATTGGAGGTTGTCAAAGGCAAACAAAAATCAAATGACATTTAGCAGACAACACGTCGAAAATGGCTGACTCTGGCCCAAGTAAAACTGATATTGAAGCGATTTTTCAAAGATTACGTAGTATTCCGGCTAATAAAGTTAGTAGTTTTGTCTTAATTATGAATATAGAAGGTATCGTTCATTGAATAATATAAGTATTGCCTCTCGTATAGGTATGTTTCGACTGCAACGCCAAGAACCCTACGTGGTCGTCGGTGACGTACGGAGTGTTCATCTGCCTGGACTGCTCAGCTGTTCACCGCAGCCTCGGCGTGCACCTCACGTTCGTACGTTCCACACAACTCGACACAAATTGGACATGGAAGCAACTAAGAAACATGCAGTTAGGCGGGAACATCAATGCAGTGCGTTGCTTTTTTATATTTATGATGATGTATAATTTTGTATGTAACATATATACCTATGTTTGATCCTTTTTTTAGACGCAGTTCTTCCGCACACATGGTCTAGTGACGGATGACGCGCGACAGAAGTACAGTTCTCGCGTGGCACAGATGTACCGTGACAAACTAAATGTTAACTCTGAGCAGGCCATGAAGACATATGGAACCAGGGTGAGTGACAAATTGATGCTATAATTGCAGCCACTATGACTTAGGTCGGATTTCACCAATCGTAGCATAAACATGTTCAAGGAAACGGAGTTCAGTGTGAACTAGAAAAAAAGAGTGACATTGATCTTGTTTTACTTTAAATGGAATTCACCAACATTATACAGATCGCGTTTACCAAAATGAAGTTTAGATTTTCATTCGTTCATAGTGTTACATGCTCATAAATTAATATTTGATGTAATGGGTAATTTAAATAAAATAATTTTAATAAAATAATTGATAAATAATGAATAAATATTTTATGATCATTAATATATTACTCAATATAAGTCAAATAAAAAAATTCATCGTTTTTAGCTTCAATAATGATGATTCTTACATACAATCTTTCATACCTCCTTTCAACCTTTTTTTGCATTGAAAATATGTTCTAGTCCTTTCTCAGGGTCTAGACTATTTGTGTACTAAATTTCATTTAAATTGGTTCAGTAGTTTTGCTGTGAAAGTGTGACAGACAGACAGAGTTACTTTTGCATTTATAATATTAATAAGGAGTAAGTATTACTATATGTTAGTTGATTGTACTATATTACATACAAAAGGATTATTGTGTGAAGTGAACTGTATTATAATTGCTCATTCCTCGTTGCTTTTGCATAAAATTGTCATGCCTTATTTTAGAATAAAATTAACAACTTTTATATTTCACTCTGATCTGTTGTAGCATATGCATATTCATGGCATATGCAATAATATGTATATAAAAGAAGGAATGAAAATTTCTATAACTTTTAAAAGGATAATTTTATAAAACAAAGATAATATTTTTAATTAATAAAAAATGGTGACAACTCTATATATCATATTTATCTAATTAATATTAAAGGAAATTGGTGTCAACTAATTAAGTATAATGTTGATATAAGAATAGTGGTGGGACTAACATAGAAAAAGAAAGTGTTGGACAGAGGAACCTGGAGTCTTTTAGAGCAGGCCTATATCTTAGGACAAGCTGATGAAGCTAGGCAGGGAAATAATAAACAAACAAAACCAACTCTATTAGAGAATAAGAGAGAGATAAGTTAGATAATTTTTTTTTATCTCTTCCTATCTGCAATCAGTCCCAGAACTATGAGCAGATTTTTTGGGTGTGGGATATAAGAATGGAGTGTCCACCCCAGCGGGAGAATCTACTCCTTAAGCATACTGCTAACATTACACAATTGCGCTTCTTTTAAGTCGCTTGGGGTTTACCCCGCTGCTCAATTACTACAATTACTTTAGTATTTGTAGTAATTGAGCAGCCAGTTGATTTGGGTGGTTACATAGTCGCTTTTTATATTTTTCTTTACAATTGATCTCCGCCTTTACTGTCAGTATGCCAAGTTCCCTGTGAATTTCGTTGTTGGTGATGTAAATTTAGATGAATAAATATGATGCTTTGTTGACAGTTGCACTTGGATCCAACACCCACAGAAGTGAAGGAGAACAAGGAGCCCGAGGTAGACTGGTTTGCCGAGCATGGAGACACTACTGACACTAACACTAATGAGCTTGCCTCGCCTGCACAGGTAACACACACGCCTCCTGCCCGCACCACTGTCGCTACAGACACGGGCCTCATTAAGCACCTGTCATATGTTGATCAACCCTGGAGACAGACATTGATACAAATTATTAGGTCAGGGGCCGTTCAGTAATATGTAAGCAGATTTATTACAATTATTTACCACCCCCATACCCCTTGTCAGCAAAAGTAAGCAAAGCTCTTACCCCCTCCCTCTTCATTCATTTCATTTTTCAATTAATGTATTGTTCTTTTAGCAATGTGAGGTGGCCATTCCTGTAAAAAAGTAAATAACTGCCGATGACGTCATCATCTAGACCCCCACCCCCATCATCCAAAATAAGCAAAGCCACCGCCACCCCATAGTGCTTATGTAATACTTGAACGATCCTTCATCAGTGTACCAGTCCTCAATAAATCATTCATAAATGATATTTCTCCATACTTCCTATTAATGAATTTACTGATTATTTATAGCAATGTGTATAAAACAGTAAAATTTTAATTATTATTGTTAAAAATAATAATTTATGCTATAAGTCTATGCCCGAACCACTGGACGAATCGGGCTGAAATTTGGCATGCAGGTAGATGTTATGACGTAGGCATCCGCTAAGAAAGGATCCTATAAGTTTCGAATAAAGGGATATTTTTATTTCCACATAATGATTTCCACTTAGATGATTTAAACACTTTCAAATGTTGGAATCTATTAAATGTAAATTGCTACTGAATACCTTTACATATATTACGTTTTCATTGTTTTGAAGTAAGAACAATAGAGATTTGTATACATAATAAATATATTTTAAATTCATAGCCAATAATTAAAGTAACTATTTTCAACAAATTTAACTTTATAATTCATTCAATAGACCCCATTTATCTGTACGTCTCTGAAATAGAGAAGTCAATAAATCATTCAAGATTTACAAAAACATTCTTAATTACAAAACGTAGCAATTGTATTGTGTAATTTTTAATTAGTCCTTATCATTACGTCTGCTCAAGCTAATTTTTTGTTATTGCATTTATTGTCTGCGGTTGGTTTTATTGCTCATAATGTTTGTGAAATTGTTGTTTTGTTTTACCTTTTTTTTTTTAATATACACATCAATACTCGTGTAAAATAAATGTCATTGTTTTGGCGCGTAATTTTTTTTTTCTTGTAGTATGGCATTCACCCCGATTTTAGGGTATTTCGCAAAAAACGAAACGGGGAAACGTCATTCATTTATATTTAGCAACGAAAATTTTGTAGAATAGGTTAGACGCGCAATTTTGTTAAACTTGATTGTTTTTTTTTAATAATGCTTTATTCACGACCATGGATACAAGTCCTTCAGTCGAATACATTTTTGTATTCATAACAAAAAAATTTAAACAAACTTAGAAATAAACTATTATATAAACTTAAGACAGTACAATTTTACAATTTCATTAATAATACATTAATTTTTTTTCCACAGTATGTACAATGTAGTTATATGTTGGAATAAAATATGCAAAATGAGATAGTAACTTGATTGTTATTAGAGTGGTGTTGCCTGCTTATAATAATGGTGTTACCAACTGTGAGATTTCATTCTAACATTGATAAGTGTGAGAAGCGTGTGTCTGTGACTCATTTAATTTATTTTACCGATAATGAATATCATTAAAGATTCCAAAGATTATTTGTGTAAGTTAATTCATAAATTAGTATTCATAAAGCTATATGATTACAATTTTTTATTAATTATAGGGATACCTATTTCCTTTGTTTATACACTAGCTACTCGCCCCGGCTTCGTACACCCGTACTTGTGTTACATATATAAACCTTCCTCTTGAATCACTCTATCTATTAAAAAAACCCGCTTCAAAATCCGTTGCGTAGTTTTAAATAAGCATACATAGGGACAGACAGCGACAGCGACTTTGTTTTATACTTTGTAGTGATAGGCATACATATTTCCTTTGTTTATAATATATTAACAAGTACAATATACAATCTTTATATATAAAAATTACGAGTCACGTTGTTTGTCCGCAGTGGAACTCTGAAACCTAAGTGGTCATAGACAGTGTGGTTTCTTCCTCCCGCGTACATTTAGAATGAACTACCTGCCGAGGTTTTCTCGAGAGACTACAGCATGGGGTTTTTCAAGAAGGGTATATTAAGGTTTCTTAAGGGTCGGCAATGCGCACGTGACAGCCCTGGTGTTTCAGGCGTATACGGGAACCGTTTACTATCAGTCGGGCCGTATGCTCGTTTGCCACCATCATACTATAAAAATATATTGTTTGTTTTAATTGAGATATTTCGTTTGTAATTCGCCAGTTATTAGCGAGTAAGCAGGAGCCGCTCAGCTCGGAGGCTCGCCTGTGGGACTCGGGCGTCAACAGCGGCGGGGACGCGCCGCGGGTGTCTTCCATCGGGGCCAGGAAACCGGCCGCCAAACGCAGCGGGGTAAGTCGATGGCATTGTAACTTGTTAACGAGCAGACTCCCAATATTATTTCATTTTATTTTGCTTGTTCTTCAATCTACTTAGTTTTAACCATAAGAAATGAATATATTTGTTTACTAGAAAAGAATAGACAATTTCCAATAACGATCTCATGGTTCGATCCCTCGCACAAACATTTGTATTCATGAGTATGATTGTTTGTATCAGTCTGGGTGTTTTCTATGTATAAATGTATGTATTTACGAAAAAAAATCTATGTATTTGTATCAGTTGTCTAGTACACATAATACAAGCTAGCCTTAACTTGGGTCTAGATGGCGTATGAATTGTCCTGAGATTATTATTTTTATTATTATCATTAATGAGCAGACCATTTATGGTAGTGTTACCATTTCATCTTTCAACATATTGTAAATTTTATTGCACAATATGTTTAGTAATATTGTTAGTGACATTTCTAATAGAAGAATAGAACAGAAAATCATTTATTGAAATAAATTTACATTGAAGCACTTTTGAATAGTCATTACATTTTTTTAATCTACCGCTCGTTCGGAAAGCTGTCTCATCACAAGAAGAACGAGCAAGAAACTTACGTGTTGCTCTTTTAAATAATTTTATTATTACTTTACATTTTTAAGTTTAAGTGTGTGAATACAAGCTACCAATTAGCACTTATTCAATTAAATACTCAAATAGAAAATATATTGAATATACAACCAACTGGCTGAGTAACTAAATAAGAGTAAATCAGTCGAAGTGATTAGAGTAGACCAGTCTCTACAAGCAGCACTCGTTCACGAGTGTGACGAATAATCAATTTCTCTTTCAAATAACATCTTTCTTAAATATATATAACTCTAAAGTGAGTGATTGACATTGTAACCTATCAACGCACAGTCTAAAGGCATGCAGGTAGATGTTATAACGTAGACATCCGCTAAGAAAGGATTTTGATTAATTCTACCCCCAAGGGGATAAAATAGGGGATGAAAGTTTGTATGAAACTTTGTCAATTTTAAACCGACCGGGCTGAGATTCAGCATTGCATGCATAAATCTACTATGACGTAGGCATCCCCATAGAAAGGATTTTGATAAATTCTGCCCAGAAGGGGATAAATTAACGCGAGCGAAGCCGCGGGCAAAAGCTAGTAAATACATAAAAGAGTAATCAATAAAGTGACGGATAATCAATTTAATGATTACTCTTTTATGTATTTATGTTACTTGAAAAGACTGTACTCCTATATATATTTTTTTTAAAACTATGAGAGGTTTGACTGAAGCGGTGCAACTGGTTGTTTCAGATCGGCGCCCGTAAAGGAGGTCTTGGTGCGACTAAAGTAGCCGCAAACTTCGACGACATTGAGCGCGAGGCCATCATGGCCGAGAAACTGAAGACGGAGGTATGTCACAAGTCGCGACGTGACCTAAGTCCTGCGCTTGAATCTCAACTGTTGTAGCTTTATTATCATATTTTGTTTATGGATGACGAATGATGATGATGAAAATAATTTTACTAAAATAATATTAGTTGCTCCTTATCACATCAGCTATCTGCCAATAAAAGTCCCGTCAAAATCCGTCCATCCATTTCAGAGATTAGCCGGAACAAATAGACAGACAGACAAAAATAGTAAAAAATGTTATTTTGGTATATATACCGTATTTATATTCATATGCATATATAAATTTAATTTTATTTTTCTAAAGTAAAAGTTGCCTAAGTTACTCCCTATTACATCAGCTACCTGCCAAAAAAGGACTCGTGAAAATCGGTCCAGCCATTTCAGAGATTAGCTGGAACAAACAAACAGACAGCCAGTCAGACAGACAAAAATTGTAAAAAATGTTATTTTGGTGTATGTACCGTATTTATATTCATATGCATATAGTAAAAAACTGTTATTTCAATGTTACAAACAGACACTCCAATTTTATTTATAAGTATAGACCATGTTTGTAGACAGCCTCGGTTTTCCAAATAAAATAAGGATGTAATGTGTGTGACAGTCTGCGGCGGGCTCCGGCAGCGGCACCACAATAGAGGCGGTGGAGCAGGAGGTGGCGTCGCTGCGGCTAGCATACGGCCCGCCGGCTCCCTCGCGCGGGACCTCCAACGCCAGCGCAGCCGTCGCCGAGCGCCTCGGCATCGCAGGCACCACCAGAGTCGCGCGCGCGTTAGTAATACCTGTTACTCAATAGTTGTAATCAAGTCCCGGAAAACCCGTGCAAAGTACTAAATTTCTTCAGGGTAACACCTTCCTTTGCTTGCTGTCATTAGATATGATTCGCACATTGAAGGACAAACCGCCGTGATCACGGGTAAGTTTACCCGTTTAAAAATAAAACGTAAGATCCCGAGATTTTTACTAATTACACGTACGAATAATATTACTAATATTTATTTATTTAAACCTTCGTTAGTGTACATTTTAATGTAGTCCTGACTCCCAAACTAGCGTGAGCAGCATATACAGCAGGATCAGGAGTCAGTTCCTTCCTAAAACAACAATTACAGTTTTAATTTACATGTAAACTTAAAATTAATTAATATTTTATTCAATTCTGACGACCTCGGTGGTCTAGCGGTCTAGCACACCGCTTTAAAACCGATGGTCGCAGGTTCGATTCCTCGCACGGCACAAACATTTGTATTCATGAGTATGATTGTTTGTATCGGTCTGGGTGCTTTCTATGTATAATATGTATGTATTTGCAAAAAAAAATATCTATGTATATGTACAAGCTCTAGCTAGCTTAACTTGGGTCTAGATGGCTAGATAAATAGATTTTTGATTTGTTTTGATTATAATTATGAATGATATTATGATCATTGTGTGTACAGAGGCGTGTCCCACTCTGCGACGTCGGACATGACCATCATCCAGCAGGAGGGCGCGCCGCCCGCCTCCTCCGCGCGGGAACACCTCGACGACATCGACGACTTCAACTCCGTGTTCACCATGATCAGGTACCATCTACCTAGTTACTTCACCGCTCCACTCACCACTACCATGTGTATACACTCATTGTTATTGTGATGACAGGAATGGTGATGAGAGTAAACACACATAGTATGGTTGGGACTTGTGTTTTGGTTACATTGATGAAGCCTGTGAAGACACCAGGAGACTTCTGCGCTTTTAGGAGGAGCTTGACTGGCTACTTTAGTAGTCTGGCTCTGCACGCACAACGGCCCAGATGAGAGGCCAATTGCGGAGACTGGGAGTCCAACTAGCATTAAATTATATCTTGATTTACTCCATTTTAGACTAGTTACTAAGACTATATATGTATATTAACCACTGCATGGCTACGTGACGTTAGATAAAGTGACCTATCTAACGTACACTCGTACAAACTATTACGTGACGTTAGATAAAGTGGCCTATCCAACGTACTGGTATAAACTATTACGTGACGTTAGATAAAGTGACCTATCTAACGTACTGGTACAAACTATTATGTGAGGTTGGATAAAGTGACCTATCCAACGTACTGGTACAAACTATTACGTGACGTTAGATAAAGTGACCTATCCAACGTATTGGTACAAACTATTACGTGACGTTAGATAAAGTGACCTATCCAACGTACTGGTACAAACTATTACGTGACGTTAGATAAAGTGACCTATCTAACGTACTGGTACAAACTATTACGTGACGTTAGATAAAGTGACCTATCTAACGTACACTGGTACAAACTATTACGTGACGTTAGATAAAGTGACCTATCTAACGTACTGGTACAAACTATTATCCTACGTACGCATTTGCAATTACTATATCACAGTATTAACGCTTGTTTTTAATAGGTGATATTGGAATGGTGCATATGTTTGTACTATTTATCTTTATGCAAAACTCCTGCAATTTATAACAAATTTCCTATACATATAAGTGAAGTAACTAACTTAATTGCTTTTAAAAAGATCCTACATGACATAATATTAAATAAGTGCTATTATTACAGTAATGACTATTCTAATGACAAACATAATCATTAGTCAGTCACATTCCGTGCAGTGGTGCTTGTTTTATAATATATATCATGACTTACATTTAATTTTTACAATCTGTTGGCTCTTGGAGATGGACATAGAGATACTTTGCAATATATTTTTTGTAACAACTTTACTTGGCCTATGATCCATAGTAAATATAGTTGAGTATGAATATATTATTGTTGTATGTAAATTGTATGTAAACCAAGTTTGGTTTTCAGCTGCAAAGGTCAGAGGCTTCACTATATCTAATTGCAAATTTGTGAATATCTTTAAAATGACACGCTTGCTACTAGTGTAAGTACTATGAGTAACATAATAATCGAGCGTGTGGCTTATTGTTGACAGAAACGAGCCGTACAGCACTAGTCGAGGACTGGACTCGATGCTGGGCGACAGCGGCCGCAAGAACCTCAGCTCGTCGTGGGAGAACATCGAGCCGGAGCCGCAGCGCGCCGTGCACACGATGTTCTCGGGCGAGTCCCCGGGCTCCGCCCCCGCCCCCGCCCCCGCCCCCGCAGCCCCGCCCTCCCGCGCGCGAGGTCGCCGCGCCGACCCGGAGGACGACTCGGCCGTCAAGAAGTTCGGCTCCGCGAAGGCCATCAGCTCGGCGCAGTTCTTCGGCGAGCAGGACTCCCGGTGGGAGCGGGACTCGAACCTGTCGCGGTTCCAGGGCAGCACCAGCATATCCTCGGCGGACTACTTCGGCGGCGACCGCCCGCAGCGGCAGCAGGCCGCCTTCTCTGTCAACGCGCCGGATCTTGATGAGGTCAGTAGGGTCTTAATAAACTTTAATTAGTATTATTAGTCAATTTTGTCGATGTGGATGAGGGTAATGATGATGATGATAATGGTGGTGATGATGACGAAGTTGATGATGTCGGTGATGGTGATTATCAATTTGATGATTTTTAGTTTAGGTTACTTTCATTTATTGACCAATTTAAAAAACATCTTTACATATATGGCAAGTCATAATATACAATAATGATATTTATAAAATTTAAAGTTGATTACAATTATATTATTAAAAGAAATAAAATAAATTTATGACGTACACAGTATACGGTATAACTAATTACAACTCGTCATAATAATGTTTAAAAATCAAATTACGGTATAATTTTTTTTTCATATACTCTGTAATATTATAAAAAGGATTTTTCAAAATAATATTTTATTTTCAATTTAAATTGTTTTAGAGGTAATTGTCTTATTATACATTATTATTTTAAAAGTAATGCCTTGTTTAAAAGTTTTATCGAGTCTTGTTTTTGGCACTTGTTTTTGATCGATATTATTAAAAATCAATATCATCATCGACTTCATTATCATCTTTGACATGATGTCAATCGTCATCATCACCAAATAAAAACGAGGTTTGCTTAGTTCAAGACTAGATGGCGCTGTGTGAATTATCCATATGGTTATTCTCATTAGTGGATACATTATTTTTTTTATGGATGATAATGGAATGGTGTACCATTGCGCTAACGGTTTACGCTGACGCGGCACCAGTGGAGGATGATAAGATGAACATGAGATCAGGCCAACCCATCGTGACAAAGTTACCTGGAATTTATCACGTTGGTTTCCAGGGGGAACCGAGTGGAGGTCAACCTCACATAGTACATTGCTAGTAATGGGGTCAGGCCACATTACTAACAATCCTTCCCCCTGCAGTAAATGTTGCACGTACGCAGGTGCGGGAGTCGGTCCGGGCGGGGGTGACCCGGGTGGCGGGGCGGCTGTCGTCGCTGGCCACCGGCGTGGTGTCCTCGCTGCAGGAGCGGTACGGGTACTGATGCCGCTCCCACACCCACACCCACGGCCACTACTCCCTACATACCATCCACAGCCTCTAGTTATATCTTCAATCATTTCATAACATTACATTATTTCATTACGACTTGAACATATAAGTCACACGATGACGTTATGTCCGTAAAACTGTCGACGCATGTATGCCAGTCCAATTAATTAAAAAAAGAAACATTAATAAATATTTCCATTCAACGTTTCTTCCCATATTTTTTTATGGATGAAAATGGAATGGTACACCCGCCTGCGCTAACAGTTTACGCTGGCGGGGCACCAGTGGAGGATGATGAGATGAGCATGAAGTTAGGTCAGTTAGCCCATCTGACAAATTCTCCAAAAATTTGTCATGGTGGTTACCAAGGAGAACCGCGTGGTCAACCTGACATGGTACATTGCTAGCAACGGAATTATTACACATTACTAACAATCATTTCCCCCTTCTTCCCATATTACATATCCCATAGATCCTCTGTATATATAGCACTGTATATAAAGTATATACATACGTGAAGTTAACTACAATCATAGTATATGTATTAGAGAAATAAACCAGGTAGAAGTAACACATCAAAATGTCTTTCTACCATCATAACATGTGTGATCCACATAATTGCGCGTGGATTACGAATAAGGGCTGTACAAATTAACGAGCATTTAAAAAACATTATCTATGACACCCATGATAAGAGCATGGTTGTCCAATGCAAATTGAAATTCAAAATATCAATATTCATGTAGGTCTATTACAGACTCTTATGATATGTCAAATCTACCGTCAGTTCGGAATGAAATCATTCTGATGTTCGGAATGTGAAGAACTGACAAGAAACTCAGCTCGTATTCTTTTCAAATAAATGTTGTACACGTTTACAATAATACAGAATGTCAGGGTATTATATGAAGATCTTTTCACCAGGCCATTATTTTGTTTATGTTTTCTATCTGTGGAATATTAGCATATCCCGTCTAAACATGTTTTGTGAAATAATTAAAAGACAGCTGTAAATGGTGCGCTCGAATTTATGTTCCAATGTATATCTTCACGCTATAATTCTTATGTGGTGGGTAGAGAATATTAAATTGTAATAACGACTTTTTGATACATTATTACTAAAGTAACGCCATTATAATCTATCCAATCTATATGATAACATGTACATTTACATAGTTTTAGAATGTTATTGTTATATACAATACTAGCTACTCGCCCCGGCTTCGCCCGGGTGTACATGTATTATACATATAAACCTTCCTCTTGAATCACTTTATCTATTAAAAAAACCGCTTCATAATCCGTTGCGTAGTTATAAATTTAAGCATATATAGGGACGGACAGACAGCGACAGCGACTTTGTTTTATACTATGTAATGATTTATCACACTATTCATTACGGAACTTAATAAAACTGCAAGTTGTTTAGTTAATCATTAGGAAACCAATGTAGGAACGCTTCCCAGACCCACTACGGTACTCTGTCCATTGTATATGTGTGTTCATTTTATTTATATGTAATGATATTCACTCTAGTTGTATAATAAATTCCTCCATGTTTCCATGACGCAACAATATTCATAATCGCTTCCGTAATACAGGAAATAACTAGTATATATGTATATGAGATAGTAGAGCGCTATATATCTGATTAAAGAGTTAAACTAGATAATATTATCTGTATTTATGGCGGTGCTGGTGAGGCACGTAACCTAACTATTCTTAATTTAATGAATTTCACAATTGTAAATATTGTAATATATATTAAATTTCATATTAATATCAAGTACAGATATCAGATAACTAGACATTTCATCGGCCTGTAACCCGCGCAGTTATATTTTTAAGTAAGGTTTAACTTTTGTACATTGTCACATGAACGATCTCTTAACCCTTCGAACGTTTTGACACATATCTGTGCACCCCTCTTAAACTGTATTACCGTCTCGTCACAGATCTGTGCCGACAAAACCGTGACATCTTTTTAACCAATTTAGTCCTTATTTGAAACGCAATAAGATTGAAACGCATTTGAAAAAATACAGCTGACGAGCGCATACCGCCACCCCTCCGATCGATCCCCCGTCCAATTCAAACGGGGATCGAAACTACGACGGCCTGAGCCGAGGTTCGAACCCCTAGTGGTGCCCTCAGACTAAAGTCGTATCCGTCGGGCAGGAGTTGGCCTTCAGCCGCTTCATAAGTCCTTCCGCGGGTTTGGAGTGCCATCTGCACTCGCCCCATAACGTCCGGTGAAGCTGTAAAGGCCAGCTACGGCCAACAGCATTAGAGTAGTCCGAAAAAAAAAAAAAAAGCATACCGCCTCTTGCGACAGACAGATAGAGATATCTGTCTGTCTCAGCGACTGAAAGTGATTCGAAAGGTATTTGGAATTCTCAATAAAACTACTGTGACAAAGTACAAAAGTTTGTATTGTATTTACTGCGCGACTTCATTCTCATTCTAGTTTTATGTAACTGTACGTTTACTATTTGTGAATGTTTTGTTTTTGAGCGGGAAAAGTTGCATTACATCTATCTATTTGGCCAATCTATCTATGACTGTAAGGCTGTATGTTTTAGCATCTGACGAATGCATTCCTATTTATATATATATCGGTTAAATTTAATAAAAAAATATATAACATTTTGTTTATTTGACCAAATCAAGTTTATATAAATTAAAAGCGAGTCTATAGCCTATACGGGCGCATGGCAATTAACCAATAAGGATGGACCATTGTGTTGTTTTTAGTTGAATTTTATTTTTATAGATAAAACTCTGAATTTTATTTAATGCAACATGATACAAAATATAGTTTAATTTTAGTTAAGACGGCTTGTAAGCATTTACTTTATTATAAAATATATTTATAGTATTTCAACTGTTTTGTAACAGTTAGGGATGTGCGATATTAGAAACATCGATATTGTCATGTGTATGTATCGAATGAGAATCATCGATGTTTCCCATTGGCCTATATCATTGCCTTTTTATGTTTAATCTTGTTTTTTTTTATACCGCAATAAATTTATTGCGACATCCCTATTTTCTATTCTTATTTTCTTGTCTATGTTATCGATGAGTTGATACTAAATATCGATGAATATCGTACATCCCTAGTTGTAGTAATGATTAAGGTACCACTGTACTAGAATACTTCACGTCTGCAGCGAGCCATCTATTGATATTTTAGGGCCTTCAATGGTCGCTGGCAGTGCGTATTTGTTATAATGGTTTATAATAGTAAGTCGCCGCATACAGGCAATTGTAATAAGTTAAGTAGTTACGGGGACGCAACGATTTTCTGTTGTTTGTTGGTAAGGTGACGTTGTTGTAACTATTGTACTTTGTGACGCAGCTCAGGCGCGCCGGCCGTTCTAATTTGAGATCTAATTGAATCACTTTAAGGTTTGTTTTTAAATAATCTTTGCATTGTTTTCTTTCTTGAGATGCAGTAACTTAACAATTATTTTATATATTTAAATTAATAGTGGATTAAGTCTTGCTGAGGTATTTATAAAGGTACAATGTAACGGTCGGTAGTATTGAGGAGGTCGCGTCGCTCATAGAATCTTTATGATAAAGTATTTTGTAATATTATATAATTCTGTGACTTCAAAACAACTCTGGGAAATATCGACTAGAGTCGAGATTGTATAATAAAAAACAATTGTTTTGAATAGATTTGATTTATTGATATAAATATATAAAACTATATTTGCATTGATTTGTTTTATTTTATAAATAATAATCTCTTCGAGATTCATAGACACCTTGCTCTCTGGACACAAATGACGTATACAAATTGTATTAAATATTTCAATATCTAGTTACGTAGCCGATTCTATATTTATAACCTTTTTAGCTATAATACATAAATTCTCTAGTGATACCGAGGTCGGTACATAATAGCAAAGACGGGCATCGAACCCTTTCTCCCTCAAGTACAAAACGCGCCCCCAGTCTAACAACGCCTTCGTCCGCCTGCCGACTACCTCACGGTATTGTTGACTCATCTTTTCTTTTACTTGTACGTTATTCTCATGGCTGGTTTTACTTGATGTCCTCAATTTCTTATCACCGGCGGTGATATCTTGTGTGTAACCGTTCTGGCCGTTATCCTGTAGTTGATGACTGTCCTGTGGTTGATGATCGGCTCTGTCGTCCTCATCACCGGTTGTTTGGTCGACCTTCCGTTTGTCCCGGCTGCGTCCATCGCCGCACGTCGCCCACGATACGATTCCCAGCATTATATCCATATCTTCGTCATTTATTCCCAATTCCTGCGAGCAACAAAATATTATCTAAATTCATTAGGTATATTAATTGCATATAAGTTAGAAACATTTCTTATTATATTACTACTGTTACGAGTATATACCTCCTCATCGATTATGTTTTATTATGAGTAATAGTTTAGTTGTCAAATATAGATTGACATTATTGTAAAAGAAAATTATAAAAAGGGACAATACAATTATTCTGCTGCAAACGTACCTACATATTATTTATTAGTAAACATATCATCTCAAAAAAGAACCCCACCACAACAACTACTAATCTATAAAACGTGTTTTATAAAAGCAATTTCAAAAACAAGTGTGTATCCCTACGTGTAATGATAGGGTTTTGAATAGCTTCTTTGAGGGAATTCAGGAAATTTACCCTTTTTTCAGCTGTACTTAGAAGGGACTTGATCGAAAGAAACTTTGTACAAAGTCGTTAGCTTCCTCTGTAAGCAGTGTGGATGTTGATGAGGTCGATGTTGATAATGGTGATAATTGAGGTGGTGATGATGGTGATGATGATGATGCCGATGATCGTCATGATGGCGACGATGATACAATAGTTATATTGTGATGGTGTAGAAGCTCGCTACCATCGTCCAAATATAAGTACCATGAGGTGTGAGCGCGCGACGTAGGTGGCCCGGTCGGCGCGGTGGTGGCAGCACGCCGCCACTACTATGCCGCACCGCGCGGCCGGCCCGCTGCCCGGCTCGCATTTTGCGCCGTTTGTGGTCTCGTCCTCCTCGTGCACGTTCACCATGCACCGGATGGCATAGTCTAAATATATAAATATTAATATTCTATGACATTTTAAGGAACATTGTATAAATGTGGTAGGCTGTAAATATTTTTAAATTATATATTACCATGAAGTGTTATTACTTTTTAAGGGCAAAATTACAGAAAGTTGTGCATAAATTTTAATTCATATATATAATATATGAATTAAAGTTTATGGAAACGCTGTTAAATATTAAATATCCAGAAAAAAAATTAACTATTTATTCCGAACGAGCGGTAGATTAAAAAATGTAATGACTGTTCAAAAGTGCTTCAATGTAAGTTTATTTGAATAAATGATTTTCTATTCTATTCTTATATATATAACTTTTCGTTCAAATTACCTTTTTGTCTCAAGTCGAAGTCGTCAAATATGTCTCAAGTCGAAGTAGTCGTCAATAATGACTTATGGCACAGAGATATAGTCGCTAACTATGGGCCTTATGAATAAGCTTAGAGTTACTTAGAGGGCTATGCTCGTTACTGCGCGTGATCGAATCAGAAATGAGATCCGCAGAAGAACCAGAGTGACCGACATAGTCCGAAGAATTGTGAAGCTGAAGTGGTAATGGGCAGGGCACATAACTCGTAGGACCTATGGTTTTAAGGTCAGTAAAGTCCTCGAGTGGCGACTGCGGACCGGAAAACGCAGCGTGGGAAGGCCTCCAGCAAGACTGACGATCCGGTCAAGATCACCGGAAGGCGTCGGATGCGAGCGGCGCGGGACCGATCGCGGTGGAGACGTTCGGGGGAGTCGGACGGTGACGTCACCTGTGGCCGCGCCGCACAGGTGCTTGGCGAGCCCGACGAGCGGCGCGCGGCGAGCCAGCGGCACGCGGCGCAGCGCGAGGTGGCGGAGGTCGGCCCGCAGCCTCGCGGCCGCCCCCGCCGCCCCCGCGAACCAGAGTGACCCCGCCCCCGCGCCGCCGCCGCCCGGATGCCGCCGCCGCGCGCACCACGCGGCCCCCCCCCCCGCCGCCGCCCCCGCGCCCGCCCCCGCCGCCGCCCCCGCGCCCGCCCCCGCCGCCGCCCCCGCGCCCGCCCCCGCCCCGCCGCCGCCCAGCGCGCGCGCCACGCGGCCGTCGCGCTTGTGTCGCAGCGCGGCGCGGTCCACCAGCAGCACGCGGCCCGCGCCCGCGCCGCACCACGCCGCCGCCGCGTACTGCGACACCTGCCCTGCACCCGACCTGCCCTGCGCTCACAAACCAGGACGACTCGTTTGCGCGCGCTAAACCGTGTCCGCGCTCCTATATTTCTCATACGATATCCAACATCACGAATGTTGGGGCACACTAAGCACTGCGTGAAAAAACTCAGGACACTTCTCACAGCACCGTTTAATCCCAAGCTAAGCAGAGCTATGCTATGTCATGAGCACTAGTGTGCCCCCTACCTTCTCTCTTTATGTAAATACTCTCTGTTAACACCGGGTTGTCTGTAAGAGATTGCTGATAGCGATAAGACCGCCGTTTGTAAAACATTTATTTTCATTGTTTTGTACTTACTGTCCTATGTTTATGTATGCGCAATAAAGAGTTATTATTATTATTATTACTAAACGACTGATATAAATACATAGGCACATTTTTTACTAGCCATATTCTTACATAGATAATATCCAGACTGACACAAACAAGTCATAAATAGAAATACTTATACCCAATATATTTTACACTACTATGAAATTTTCCTACACAATAATAACAAACAAACAAAACAAAAGACTTATATCATATCAAAGCAATATAATATAAAATTATAACACAGGAAATAGTGACTATCAAAGAATAATAAACCGCATTCAATCAGATAATATTTTCACAGAACTTCAAAGAGTGAAAGAGGTTAGTATTGAGTTACTCACCTTTGCCGGCTCCCAACTCTACGTAACAAGCTTGGTCTTGCACCAGCTCCTCCTTCTCTATGATCCACAACAGACTAGAGACCTGTCGTAGATGTCGTCTGGAGCTCTCTGTGCGGTTGCTCTCGTTAAAGTCTGCCAATACCACCGAGTGAATGGGGTACTCCGGGAATGTTGTAATACTATCTTGCACATACTCTATTACAAATAGAAAATAAAGTCATTATTTTACTAATAACTATTCAAATTCAAATTCAAAATATCTTTATTCAAGTAGGTCTATAACAGACTCTTATGATATGTCAAATCTACCATCAGTTTGGAATGATTTCGAGATGAAAACTGACACGAAACTCAGCTCGTATTTTTTTTAAAATAAACGTGGTACATGTTTGTAATAATACAGATAAATTTAAATTCAAATTTAGGAGAATAAAGTGACCACCAGCTAATGCTATTGCAAAAAAACAAGAAAATCTAATCAGGGTTCGCAACCTGAACAGACCAGTCCCCACATGCAGGATCCGTTCACGAGTATGACGGATAAGCCAGCCGTCATTGCCACTCGACCATATTAGACCCGGCCCACCACACCGCCACAAGTTTGAACTTTATAGCGAGCATCACTGTTTCAAGTTACTCCACTACATCATTGTGTTAATCTGATAATTCATACTTGCCCATTGAAATTAGGTTTACAAGCTTGGTAGCTTAGTGCTTTACTCCATTACCACCCCATGGTCACAGCTCTTCTTGATCCCCATGCAATAGAAATGTTAGTGGGGATGGGGATTGTTAGTAATATGGACAGATGATCCCGTTCAGGGGCAGATCTACCTAAGGGCTTTTTGGGCTGCAGCCCAAAGATACAAAGGGCCACTGAAACGATATTTAGAATAGAAAAATATCTAGAATGTTAAAAAACCTATTATAAGGTTATAGGTTGGCAACCCTGAGATCAATCAACCCATGCAAGTGCTTATCGAAAGGAATGGGGAATTTCTGGTAGCTTGTTTTTGGTTTTGAGTAATATAATTAGGTGGGCCCCTAAGTAGATTTAGCCCAGGGCCCCACAATTTCATGATCCGCCCCTGCGCTTCTGTAGTACATATTCAATTATATAAATTTTACAGTCCATACAGCATTTAAGAAGTCTATAGTTTAGGAACCTACATTAAATGTACAGCAGTGTATATAGTGTTTTAATTGTGACTAACTACCTACTTTCATACAACAGATTGACTTTATCAATAAGCTGCATAAGACATTCTCTTGACACTTCAGCGAGGGGTTTCCTAGGGCTTGTGTCTCCCTCCAGTGGTGCATTGATGTTTGGCACTATGTAAGCTGGCCGCTCCACCTGTCGGGCATTGCAGATGGACAGATGTTTCTCCAGCTTGCTTACATAGCATGTGCTGGAAATAAATATACTGTTGTGTAACTAACTGCAATAACAATACATTAGAAATTGAATCTACAAACAATTATAAAACTATCTAATTTTATAATTAGTATAATTTTAAGGTGAAAAAGATATTAATACACATTACTCACTGTTTAGGATCATTTGGGCATGGGATGCGATTATCAGCCTGGAAAAAAATTTAATAAGAAATCTTATTAATATTATAAAAGCGAAAGTTTGTGAGTATGGATGTCTGTTTGATACTCTTTCGAAGTCTGTTCAGATTATGATGAAACTTTACAGTTATATAGCTTATACATCAGAATAACATATAGGGTATAAATTTCATGTAGGTGAAACTGTGGGCACAGTAGTTTAATAAATGTAGATAATAGAATTTTGACACAAATATATTAATAAGATTCTAGACTAATTCAAATCTTACACAATAGTTATATACATGTCTTTTAACAATTGTGCATACATGCTGATTTGAAAAAAATAAGATCTAAGTTTCATGACAGTTTTTCACAACTCAAACTGATGGTAAATTTGACTTAACACAAATATATTGAATGCTAGACTGAGAGCTAAATCAGAGATAGGTTAACAGCTTGAAACAAAAAACACTACAGGCAAGGAGGAAATTAGAGAAGAGGAGTAGCGAATAGAGAGACGGTGTAAAGAAGTAAGGGACAACGGACAGCGACAGGAAATCCTGTTATTATGATAAATAAATAAATTATGGAATATTCATAAAACATTACCAATCCGTCTTCGGTTGTGGGTTGGGGCTCATGCTCTCCGCAGTACTGCCGTCCCGGCCGCACTGTCATTCGACAGAGTCTCTTCTTTCGGAGTACAAAAAACTGGCATTGTGGTGAACTAACGACTTTCTCTTCCATATTTAGTCTAATGTCTCTATAAATAATATTGATTGTTAATACAAGAACTGTAACTAATTACGACTAATAATGTGCCTAAAAGATAATCTAAGTAACAAAATTGAATGCTACACAGTTAGTTCTATATCTTTTTAGTTTTCATTTATAATACTTTAGTTTTATAAATATTATTGTTTCCTACAAATCACTAATGAGATTAAGTTAGAGGTTATGTTTATGACTACGTCAACCGTACTGCCAACTCAAAATGTCAAAACAGATTATATAATAGGTATATATGTATACCCATGATTTCAATGAAATAATTTCCAAGTATAGTGATTACATGCTTAGTGTCCATGTCAAGCAAATTTTCTTGTATGTACGTAAGTACGAATTAAACAGTCTAAAATTTTACTGATCACACGGATTCCTTTTACTTCATTTATACTACAAAATTTCCTGTATTTTTCATACCTTTTATTTTTGTTAGAGCATCACTCGATGCTTTCTGGCAAATATTTAATTTATTATTAGGTACATAATTTATGATTTTCAAAGATTTTTTATTTTAACGGCTATTACTGAGTTTTAAATTTCATGGAGATATGCAACAAGTTTTTACTATTAGAATTTTATTCTCAATTTTGAACGTCAACGAAACAAATGATAGCTATCAATCTGTCTATCATTGTCTACCTTTCCTAAGTTTGTGTGATCTGTGCTTTTGATTTGAGATGTTTTGAGGTTAGGCGTTGTATTGGTATCTTTTGAAGAGTAGATATTATTTTTATTACTTTTGCTATATTATGTAGCTTTGTCGCATAACAATGAATTCCCCGAGTAAACAAAACGAAGAGCCGTCGTCTAGCACTGAGGCTGATAGTATTATGGAGAACAGCAACGGCGGGGAAGGCGTGCCGACGGAGAGCTTGCGACCGCCCGCCAAGCGAAGATTGTCGGGAGCAGTGATAGAAATCTCCGACACGGAGAGCGATGATTCTGATGTGTGTGCTGTAAATTCGTACCAGGCTTCAGCCGACGAAGTGAAGAGGATACGCGGCAGTAAGTAGACGCTTCCAGCATACATCTGTGCTTGTTATTGTTGAACGCGGGAACTTTGTTTTTGTGGGTTATAAGCTACGACTAATGGGAATTCCTTGCTAATAAACTGAATTATGAGTTAGGATATTTTATTTTATTTATACTCTTTATTGCACCAATTACAGAACAAAAACAAAAACAATTATAATAAAAATATAAATATATTTTTTAGGATACTATATTAATATATTTTTTTATTATATTCTGCTAAAATAACTCTTACTCTACAAATCAAATAGTCTATTCGTTATTTTGTTATGTCAGTATTAAGTATATAATGCGTCACTAGACCTATTACGTGTGGGAGACAGCTAAAGTGAGTTAGCACAGTGCACCAATATAAGAGAAGAAACATTCCAAATAGAATCCTATAAGTACTGTATTAGGATGTAAAGTTATATGTATAATACCACTTAATATTAAAATTACTGCCTCTATTTCTTTTATACCACTCTTCATATTTACAAACACACCTTTGGCTACACACATTACCATATTTATAGTAATATAGCTTATACATCAGAATAACACATCATTACATAGTATAAAACAAAGTTGCCATCTGTCGGTCCCTATGTGTGCTTAAATCTTTAAAACTAAGCAATGATTTTTAATAGAGAGAGTGATTCAGGAGGAAGGTTGTTATATATATAATACATGTACATGCGAAGCCAGGGTGAGTAGCACTAGCTACTAGTGTATAATTTAAAAACATATTATGTATATTGAGCAAAATATAATGATAAATGCTGTGTAAGTGTGAGGCAGACAAAGTTGCTTGGGTCAGCTAGTATTAAAATAAGACTATTATTATGTAAGATATTTAAGTGATTTAAAGTAACATATTAAGGTGTCAAATGTTTGTTTTGCAGAGGATTACTCATCATCCTCTTCATCTTCGGACTACAGTTCAGACTCGGAGTCACCGTGGGAGGATGACTCTATACTGTTGAAGGATGAGGTATCAAACAAACCTGCTACTCGGGTACAACTTAATCCTCGAGCAGACAGGATGGAGGATCCAAAGCTTAATCCTAATATAAAGGTATGGTTTCACATTCTCAGTAAATAAATAATTGTAATAAATCTGCTTACATAATACTTGAACCCAATTTTGATGAAATTTTATGTGTATACTGGGTAGGTCTGAAAATAGGTTGAATCTATTTGTTACATTACTACAAATTTTCTTTATAACTTTTTTATGATTTGTTACAAAAAAATACCTGCAAAGGTAAATTTTCACCCTTCTACCAACAATCTCTAATTTTTAATAGAGATATTAATTTATATGGCAATACAATGGTTGTCCACAACTATTCAAAATTTTCAAAATTAAAAAATAATTTATTCATGTAGGACATTTTAGCCGCTTATGAACATCAAGTTTTTACATTATAATTTTTTTTTCCTACCATCTTGTATGTAAGTATAATATTTTTTTAATATATTGTATTTATGTTTTCAGTCACAGGAATTAATAGACAAATTAACAAGCCATTGGAACGAAAAGAAGGACTTTAAAACGGACGAGATTACACTAACGTGTGATCCATTCAGACTGTGCCTGGTGCGGGACTTGCTGGCCAACCCCGACATCATCAACAACATTGTTGACGACATGAACACACTGGATTGGTCTCGCAAGAAGATGGACCTGTATGAGTTCTATCAGACTGCTGACTTATCAAGTCTCACGTGGCAAAGGAGTATCAGAGGTATACATGAACTGTTAAAGACTGAAGTTATGAGTTGGGTAAGTATTGTTAAAATCTATTTTTATTTATAAACTACCTACACGCACAACGGCCCGAATGAGAGGCCAATTGCGGAAAATGGAGTCCAACCTACACTACCTATTTATAAACTGGCTAACCGCGATTTCGTCCGCGAGGAATTTAACTTTATTTTTCTAAAACAAAATTTTTTTTCTAAAATAATAGTAGCCTAAGTTACTTACTCCTTATTATATCAGCTACCTGCTAAAAGAAGTCCCGTCAAAATCGTACCAGCCTTTTCAGAAATTAGCCAGAACAAACAGACAGACAAATAGACAAAAATTGTAAAAAATGTTATTTCGGTGTGTGCCGTATTTATATTCATATGCATGTAGTAAATAACGGTTATTTCAATATTACAAACAGACACTCCAATTTTATTTATATGTATAGATTAATGAATTCTTTTATTGTATGTAGGACACTGTTTCTACATTTCGCCTCTCATTTGGGTTGTTGTAAAAACACTCCCGAAATTGTTATTATGTTACTTCTTTAATTTTTAATCTATTTAATGTAAATGTAACTGGCTCCTAATAAAGATAGGTGACACTGCATGTTGTCAAGTCACCCGGCCGGCCAGCGGTAGTTCTGGGCCAGATGGATAAGGTCTGCCTCAGTGCCACTGTTAGGCAAATTGTAACATCTCGGCTGGAGTTGTACAAAAGTGGAAATTAAATAAATATAATAATATTAAAGTAAATTAAAAAAGGCACGGACGAATATGTCTGTGGAAAATTGTATTTAAAATTAAAGTAAAAAAAATCTATTTAATGTAATATTTATATAAAAATGTACTTTAACATTGTTTCATGAATTTTTTTTATTGTATGTAGGACTCTGTTTCTGCATTTAGCCCCATTTGGGCTGTTGTAAACGCTTCTGAAATTATTATTCTATTTATATTTAAAATATAATATTTAGATATAAAAATGTAACTAAACATTCTCTATATGTATGAGAAATACTAAATAATAGATTGTTTTAAAGGACTATCAATGTAATAGAACCTGATAGATTTCTTAGAATGATTATTTGTTTGTAAGTGTGTTTGTGGCTGCTAATCTCAGAAATGCTTAATTGATTGGGGTGTGGTTTTATTTTTATTATTTCAATCCATCTACAAATAAAAAAAATTTTTTTTTTTTCGAATAGAGTAGAAATTCATATAGAAAGTTGCAGGTTCCACAAAATTTTAAGTATTTAGAGTTACTAGTTTCCTAGAATTTTGAAGACTTACTAGTCTTAATATTCTGAATTAAAAAAAACACCTGTGTTATTATCTGTTGATGCTTCATTTCCAGCACTATATTTTCGAAACCACTAACTGAATTTGACTTTGGAATTAAAATTAGTAAAAATATTTTTACTTCACTGAGAAAAAGTAGAGAAGTCCAAGATTGGTACACGTCATCGGTTTGTCTCGATGTAAATTAGAGTTTATGGTCATAGAGCACATGGTGTTCATCGTCGACAGGTGTCGCAGGTGACGGGCCTGGAGCTGCGGTGCATGTCGTCGTCGTGCTCGCTGTACGGGCCCGGGGACCGGCTGCTGGTGCACGACGACCTGCTGGCCGACCGCCGCGTGGCCTTCGTGCTGTACCTGGCGCCCTGGAGGCCCCCCGCACCCCCCGCACCCCCAGCACCCCCCGCACCCCCCGCACCCCCCGCACCGCCCGCAGATCCGCCGCCACCGCCCACACCCGCAGCCGACGACCAACAACACCAACCGCTCGAGAATGGATCCGGTGAACATGTACACGAGGTAAGTTTTGTCATAATGAAATGATGTACTGGTAATGGTATACTCTGGCGGGGTACAGTAGAGGATGATAAAATGAGTATGAAGTCAGATTAGTTAGCTGAATAGATATTAATAGTAATCATTTATTCAAAGTCACAATACAAATTAAAAATACAGAAAACTCAAAAGCTAATATCGCGCTGTGAACTAAAAGGGCCTCCACTCAGCTGCTTATATTATGTACATGCTAGCTATGAGGTCAACACACTTCTATATAATACTTAGTTACTTTTTAAAAGAGGTAACATCTATACATGTACACATGAACAGCATCATGGCGTATCTCATTTTTAAACTGAAAAACAGCTTACAAAAGCTTATATGATATGTAATAATTAATTATAATATGTATATGAAACGAAATGAAATGAAAAAACTTAGTGGGTGAAATGTACAAAGTAGCTAGTCTATACTAGACAATGTACAAAATGTATATGCTAAAATCACATACACACAGATATGAATAACGCAACCAGAGCATAGTGATAACTCGTATGTTAGTACTGTGCGAGGATCAAACCTGGGACCTTCGCAATATCTTGCTGTTGTTAGACGGCTAGTGCACTTGTTGGTATATGGGAGGGTGTGTCACCAGGAGTGGAGCCCCGGAGGCGGGTGGCGGCCGCAGATGGGCGGCGCGCTGGAACTACTGGCCACGGACGAGGCGGGCCACCCGCAGCGGGCCGCCCGCCGCGTCTACCCGCGCAACAACATGCTCGCCCTGTTCAGAGTGGGCACCGACTCGTTCCATCAGGTGAGCGGTTCACCCGCAGCGGGCCGCCCGCCGCGTCTACCCGCGCAACAACATGCTCGCCCTGTTCAGAGTGGGCACCGACTCGTTCCATCAGGTGAGCGGTTCACCCGCAGCGGGCCGCCCGCCGCGTCTACCCGCGCAACAACATGCTCGCCCTGTTCAGAGTGGGCACCGACTCGTTCCATCAGGTGAGCGGTTCACCCGCAGCGGGCCGCCCGCCGCGTCTACCCGCGCAACAACATGCTCGCCCTGTTCAGAGTGGGCACCGACTCGTTCCATCAGGTGAGCGGTTCACCCGCAGCGGGCCGCCCGCCGCGTCTACCCGCGCAACAACATGCTCGCCCTGTTCAGAGTGGGCACCGACTCGTTCCATCAGGTGAGCGGTTCACCCGCAGCGGGCCGCCCGCCGCGTCTACCCGCGCAACAACATGCTCGCCCTGTTCAGAGTGGGCACCGACTCGTTCCATCAGGTGAGCGGTTCACCCGCAGCGGGCCGCCCGCCGCGTCTACCCGCGCAACAACATGCTCGCCCTGTTCAGAGTGGGCACCGACTCGTTCCATCAGGTGAGCGGTTCACCCGCAGCGGGCCGCCCGCCGCGTCTACCCGCGCAACAACATGCTTTTTATGTTCAGAGTGGGCACCGACTCGTTCCATCTGGTGAGCGGTTCACCCGCAGCGGGCCGCCCGCCGCGTCTACCCGCGCAACAACATGCTCGCCCTGTTCAGAGTGGGCACCGACTCGTTCCATCAGGTGAGCGGTTCACCCGCAGCGGGCCGCCCGCCGCGTCTACCCGCGCAACAACATGCTCGCCCTGTTCAGAGTGGGCACCGACTCGTTCCATCAGGTGAGCGGTTCACCCGCAGCGGGCCGCCCGCCGCGTCTACCCGCGCAACAACATGCTCGCCCTGTTCAGAGTGGGCACCGACTCGTTCCATCAGGTGGGTCGTTCCTTTTCTTAACATGTGGAAATATCTTCAGAAACTATACAGTAAATCGAGGTGTCGTGGGCATAAGTCAGGGGCTCGCAGTTAGCCTATCTTTGACGGTTTGGCCTGTCCTGTAGATGGTGAGGGTATGGAGACAGAAACAACAAGTAAATTACTTTAACATCATATATACAATTTTGTATAATTACAATTAAATTTGTTACAATTATTAAGTTTTTTAGATATAAATTTTAATTACTATTTTTATTTAATACACTGTTACAAGCAAAATACGCTTAGTATGATGGATTTATTTATAAAATTTAGCTTACGTAGTGTTCAATTATTCTTGAAGTGATTTGTTTGCTAAAATCATTACATAGTATAAAATAAAGTCGCTGTCGCTGTCTCTCCGTCTCTATGTATGCTTAAATCTTTAAAACTACGCAACGGATGTTAAATCAGTTATTTTAATAGATAGAGTGATTCAAGAGGAAAGTTTATATATATATATAATACATGTACACCCGGGCGAAGCCGGGGCGAGTAGCTAGTAATATACATAAATGTTTCCATCGGAATCAAACTAAACATCATACAACACTGTCTAATGCTAAAACCAGACAAGTTGTTAACGATCTCCTGAATGAACGATGTGGTGTGTGGTCAGGTGAGCGAGGTGGTGTCGCTGGAGCTGCCGCGGCTGACCATCAACGGGTGGTTCCACGGGCCGCCGCCGCCGCCCCCGGCCGCCGGGCCTGCCGCGGAGCCCGAGCCCGTGCTGCCGCTACCGGAGCCCGAGCGACTTAATAATGAAGTTGTAAGTCTTATACACTTCGTAATAATACACAACAGAATACGCAACATTACCATAGAGGATCATCTCTATATATAAATAAAATTGGAGTGTCTCTCTCTGTTTATAATATTGAATAGAATAATAGTTTTTTACTACATGCATATGAATATAGATACGGTACTTATACCAAAATAACACTTTTTACAATTTTTTGTCTGTCTGTCTGTCGGTCTGTTTGTTCCGGCTAATGTCTGAAATTTTGACTTGACCGATTTTGACGAGACTTTTTTTAATAGGTAACTGATGTAATAAGGAGTAACATAGGCTACGTTGATTTTAGAAAAATAAAATAAAATTCCACGCGGACGAAGTCGCGGGAACAGCTAGTAGACAATACGAGTCTTATGAATAGATGGGCAGGTTCAAATTCGTCCAATAAAAAAATTCCCATACTGTGTAGTGATATTCTGATCTCACAACGTTTCGACTATGTTGCACTATCCGTGGTCACGAGCTGACTGGAGTAACAGTGATGTTAATGTAGTTAGGTGCCAACGGTTTTCTCAACTACCGTCACTAGATTGTCCAATGAAAGATTGCGAGACACAGCACTCACAGCATCCGTACACTTATTAACTGGTGCAATCGATCTTTGTTTGAATTAATTTGTTATAAAATTATATGGGACACAGTTACTAGGTAAATAATAATTGCATTTAATAATGTCTAGTAAGACAAATTCAATATTGTGTACTAAGCACTGCCGTGTCTAAACTGTGTCACCCCACCTTACATTTTCCTATTGTCATTTAGTATATAAGATCATTATTTCTATGTACATATTGTCAGTTTATTACCATCAGTAATATACATCGTCTCGACCAATAACATCGTATCAAAAACCCGCAACACCTGTTAAGACCCAGTTAATATAAATAAAGTGTATTAAACATAAATGTATAAATATAACTATTATAAGAAATTGAAAATCAAACACACAATATCGCGCATTCAACCGGGCGCCCGGGCACTCCACACCGCCGCCCCCGGGCGCCCCTCCGATCGATCCCCCGTCCAATTCAAACGGGGATCGAAATTACGACGGCCTGAGCCGAGGTTCGAACCCCTAGTGGTGCCCTCAGACTAAAGTCGTATCCGTCAGGCAGGAGTTGGCCTTCAGCCGCTCCATAAGTCCTTCCGCGGGTTTGGAGTGCCATCTGCACTCGCCCCTAACGTCCGGTGAAGCTGTAAAGGCCAGCTACGGCAAACAGCATTTGAGTAGTCAGAAAAAAAAATTGATAATCAAATACTGGCAGTAGATGATCGGATAAGGTAAAAGTTAGAATCGCCCATCGCAACAATTTCGCAAGGACTCTATCACACTGGTTTCCAGGGAGAACCATACGATGTCAACATCATCATCAGTGCCTTACCTTTATCCCATTATTTGTGGTCGGCGCAGTATGTCATTCTCTTTCACTGCTCTCTATCGGTCGTCATATCTGAACATACTCTTCTTTTATTCATATCATCTTTCACACAATCCATCCATCTTTTCTTAGGGCGTCCCCTCCCTTTACATCCATCCACCTTCATATTATACACTTTCCATAAGACATGATACTCGTTCCTCCGCATAACATGCCCATACCAACTCGATCTGTTACCTCGCAACTTTTCTATAACCGGAGCAATTTTCACAACATGCTATTGTATATTACTAACATCCCTCCTTCCGCGTGTGGTGCAGGTGTTGCTGAACCAGTGGATAGAGAGTACATACATGACGCCGCGCAACCGCGCGCAGATCCAGACGCAGATGGAGAGGGAGAGCGAGGTCAGCCTCCGGGACTTCTTCCTGCCAGAAAAGTATCAGGAGCTGCTACAGGAGCTGCGCGAGCCCAGTACGTACACGAACACGCACACGACGTCGTTACGAGGCGTTCATAATATGTCATAAGAATTTTATATATTTTATAATTATGAAATACTAGTTGACCCGTGCGCAACTTCGTCTCCATGACACTTACTCGACATTTATCATTTTATGATGCCCAAATTATATATATTTTTTTAAAATAATAGTTTGTGTTATTCTGATGTATTAGGTTGTTCGGAAAGTAATTTCGTTTTTTCCTAACTTAGTTGTATAAATTGTATTTTTTGTACGCAACTTCACAGTTAAGCCGTACAATTTTTATATGCTTTGAGAGTTCATATAGCAAGGCTTGTGCGCGAAAAATTTCAATTAATTCTATGCAGTAGTTTTTGGTTGATACCCTTTTAAATATGGAGAGGAATAAGCAGCATTTTCGACATATCTTACTGTTTTACTACAGAAAAGGCAAAAATGTTATTCAAGTCAAATTTCGATCTGGCAATTTTTATGTTGAAGATGCACCACCCTCGGGAAGGCCGGTTGAAGCTGAAAAAGCATTGGTTGATGCGAACCGGCGAATAACAACACTTGTAACGTGAAGTTGAGTGCAAAAAATACAATGAAATCCTAAGTTAGCTATATTACTGTAAAATTTCATCAAAATTGGTTGGATAGTTTTTGCGTGAAAGTTTTTCCCCTGCGGGCCCACGTCGGTAACCACAGGCAGGTGATAAGGTATGTGGGTGCCGCAGGCGTGCGGTGGATCCCTGCAGGCCCGCTGCAGGCGCGGCGGCACGCGGCGCTGTGTGCGGAGTGGGCGGCGGCGCTGCCGGCACACCACGTGCTGCGGCAGGTGCGCTCGCTGCTGGCCAGCACCACCTTCGCGCGGCTGCTGGCCGACTGCACCGACCTGCAGCTGACGAGGCTCGCGCGGCTCGAGCTGCAGCGGTGGCGCGCCGGGGACTACGCCGTAATTATCACTATTATATACATACATCTATACCCTTCTCCGTACCTCTCACAGTATCTAGAGTAGTGATTCCCAAAGGGGTCTACGACCAAAAGGTCTAAGAAAAACTGCAAGGAGTCTATGACAGTGGTCATCGTGTTGTTTTTACTTTATGTTCTTGACACTAAACTTTACTACAGTTAGAAATTAAAAAAAAATCAATGGCCGGTAAGAATGGGGTCTACCCGAAACCGAAAAATATCGCAAGGGGTCTACGACACAAAAAAATGTTTGGGAACCTGATCTAGAGAGTGCGTCTGTTACAACTACATCTATCGCACATTAAAAATTCGTAATCGTCCTCATTCATCTCACATAGTTTATGAAATGTATGCATATCTGTATCTATCACAACTACATCTATCTCGCTATCGTTCTGTAGAGTGTGTGCATATTTTAGTGTCATCTTCCCATCATAGTTTACTGCGCACACTTAATTCTTATCTTACTTTACTAAAATGTATGCATACCTCAATTTTACCCTCATATCATCATATACTACAGTCCATGTATATCTTACTATCATCTTCCTATCATCATTTACATCACATACCTCACTCTCACCTAATTCAGCCATCAAGTGACTCGGTTAATAAACTATTATAGTTGAAGAATAAGATAAATTACAAAGCGACACATGAGTGATATCTCGACTGTCCCGTGATATAATAAGATTCATTATATTGATCATATATATGACAATTACCACTACCACCAAATCGATCGTCAATATACTTCTAATTCCAATAACATAAAAAACAAATAGCTGTATAAACTTGACTAGTCAGTCGTCGCAGTGTAAGGTGCATGCATTGTATTGCATTTTTTTATTTTATTATTTCATTGAATTAGTGCTAATCGGTGGTTTGTATTCACACACTTAAACTTAAATTGTAAGTAAGAATAAATTATTTAAAAGAGCAACACACAAGTTTCTTGCTTTAGATTAAAAAAAAAATGTTATGACTATTCAAAAGTGCTTCAATGTAAGTTTATTTGAATAAATGATTTTCTATTCTATTCTATTCTATTCATGCATGTGACCAGCTGCTGCCACCTCGCGAGCACTACCAGCGCGCCCGGCTGGAGGTGGTGGTGTACGTGGGCGTCCCGGAGCGGGCTCTGAGCGGCGGCAGCACGACGTTCGTGGCGGCCGAGCAGCCCGGCGACGCGGCGCTGGTGACGCTGCCGCCCGTCAACAACGCGCTGTCGCTCGTCTACTGCGACCCGGGCGCCGCCGCCTTCACCGCCTACCTCAGCCGCCTCACCATGCGCCCCGACGACTGCTTCTACGTGCTCTGCGGCACCTACTGCGAGTGACGCCCGCCAGACACTACTACCCGGACCGACGCCGCCGCACCCACGGAGTTCTCGTATCGCAACGCATGTACGACCAGTGCAGCCCGGTGTGAGTTAAAAAAAATTACGTGGAGTGAGCGAGCAGTCATACAAACATTGTAACGAGATATAATAATAATGTGCGTCATGAAATGATGAAATTAAAATGATTTTCAATTTCAGTATAATATTACGTGGAGTGAGCAAACAGTCATACAGACACGGTAGCAAGATTTTATGTAGTAATTATAAGCACAGCGTCATGAGATGATGAAATTCAAAATGATTTTCAATTTTATTGCAATACAAATGTAGTGCTAGATCCTAATTTGGTCATTCTCAGACTGAAAGCTTATAAAATGGTTAACATAGTTGTCTTAAGAAACTCAGTGAATATCATCTATTTCCAAGAGTAGGTTGAGGAGTAGGACCCTGGCATACATGAATTTTGTTTAATAAAATTAGATCTTATACTCTATAATGTTCACGATACAACTACCTCAACAATTTTAGAAGTTTTCAATTGGGAAGAAATTTTCATACAAACTGGTTGATCCAGAAGTTTCTATGAATTTCAATATTTTTTTCTAACTGTTTAACATGCGTTATAAAACATTCGAGTTTCATTGATAATGCTGGAAACTGCTTGTAAAAATGAGCATAGCTACAGAACAGTAGTCTGCAAAGCGTGAGTGATTGAGTATATTTATTTATTCTAAACTAGGTTTTTGCGGCTTCACATTAATTGTACGCAGTACCTCTTGACTTTGTTAGTCCTAGCAGATATTTATGAAGAGTGTAAATTATCTCCCAAACATAATAGACACGTAGCCCGTAGGACAGATGGCTGTTGGGACAGTAAAGTCCTGGAGTGGCAATCGCAGACCGGAAGACGCGTGGGAAGGCCTCCATCAAGGTGGACCGACGATCTGGTCAAGGTCGCTGGAAGGCGTAGGATGCGAGCAGCGCAGGACCGATCGTGGAGGTCTTTGGAGGGGGCCTTTGTTCAGCAGATGTCTTCCGGGATGATGTTACAAACAGACTGCTAGTGATAAAGTGATTGTTCAGCAACTGTTATTGTGTTCAAGACGGTATATGTACCGCGGAAACTGTAATGTAAGGCCTGACATTAAAAAAAAGTGTTACTAGAGCCAAAACCAGACTCTAAATTAGCGTATATTGTTTATATAGTAAATAAGTTTTAACACTGTTTGACGTGCGTGACTGATAGTGAATAGAATGTCCCGTGTAAATATAACTTTGATCGTTGACATAGTATTTTTGTATGTATTGATACATCACATAAACCTGTAATATTCTAAGCCATTTAATTATATTTTGTTACGTCGATTGTTTCATGAACTGATATGATATTGTAACCTTCAAGAAAAGAGCTTATTCCTTCTTAATAGGCCGGCAACGTACTTGCAATTCCCCTGGTGTTGGAGCTCATGGGCGGCCGTAATCAGTTACTATTAGGTGAGCCGCAAGCTCGTTTTCCCCTATGCTATAAAAAATTATGATGCTGGGGTCAACGATGGTCAGTATTCAAATATAGTTCTTATTATCTAGTACATAATACTTATGTTCACATCAGTTGACCCGAGAGACTTGTTGTTTGCAATATTTATTGACTCCATTATGAATGTATGTATATTAATAGATACAAATATGACAGTATTACTATACTCAATTGTATAGTGGAATAGTAGCAGTGAAATATTTTGAAATACCACAATATATTGGTTAGGGGCCTTTCAAGTATTACGTAAACACTATAGGGGGCGGCGGATCTTTGCTTTGCTTATTTTGGATGACCACCCCCCATGGGGGAGTCTAGATGATGATTACGTATCGGTAGTTATTTACTATTTCACACGAATGGCAACCCTCACATTGTCTTTGCTAAAAAACAATACATTAATTGAAAAATGTTTACATAAGTATGGAGGGAGGGGGTAAGAGCTTTGCTTACGTTTGCTGACAAGGGGGATGGTGGGGTAAATAATTGTAATAAACTAAATTACGTAATACTTGAAGGACCCCTTATTCATGATTTTTGCCACACTTTAGGGGGTGGAGATCGGGGGAGATTAATAAATAACATGATATCAAATCAAAATATCTTCATTCATGTGTAAGAAGCACTATTTATGAAGGACGACTGAGGCTTAGAAGCCGGCTACCGCAAGGGAAACCCCAAGTAGCGCCCGTGACTTGTGACACATTAACACTCACCTTCACTACTTGCAGGTTTCCCCCAGGCCCAACTAAGACCGAGATAAACCCATTTCTAATACAATTCACTTTTGTATCCAAAACACAACCGGCACGCTCTGTGCTCATCGACTGAATGCCGCGGCTCACGCAACGAAAGAGGATTATTCAACTACCGACCTCCGTATTTATAGACCAAAGTCAGTGTAGTAGGTTGGTCTATATATACTAGATGGCGCTATTTACAATATTTGTAATAATCTTTACATTGGGTACTTCATTAGTACTAAAAACAAACTACCTTCTTTTAATATATTTTTAAAATATCGGATATTTTCTACAATAATAATGTGAATTCTAACACATGTAGGTCTTACAGACTTATGATATCAAATCTACCGGCAGTTCGGAGTGCTTTCGAGCTAAGATATATTGACAAGAAACTCGGCTCGTATTCTTTTCAAATGAACTTAGTACATGTTTACAGTAATACATATTTTAAAATTTACAATATATTAATATTTATTCACATACAAGCACGTCCGTTCCGTTAGCTGGTTGACCGAATAATGTATTTTTTGTCCAAGTCACTGTTCATAGGCCGCCATATTTCCACTACACCCGAAAAGCCAGAAGTGATGACATATTTTAAATGATAATAATACTAATTTCGAACTGCTGATTCTTTTATAATTTCATCACCTCTTCACAAGGACCTCCACCATCACAAGTTCAATTGTGAAAGAGGAGATGTCACAATTAGAGAGGGGCTCTTACAAATGTCACAATCAGCTGTGACAAGGACAAGGAGTGTGACCTTATTTATGACTAGCTGTTCCCGTGACTTCCTCTGCGTGGAATTTAACTTTATTTTTTCTAAAATAAAAGTAGCCTAAGTTTCTCTTTATTGCATCAGCTACCTGCCAAAAAATGTTCCGTCAAAATCGGTCCAGCCATTTCAGAGTTCAGCCGGAACAAACAGACAGACAGACGGACGAAAATTGTAAAAAATGTTATTTTGGTGTATGTACCGTATTTATATTCATATGCATGGATTAAAAAACGGTTATTTCAATATTACAAACAGACACTAGAATTTTATTTAACTCTATATACAACGAGCAATAATAAACAAACATAATAATTAACCATAGACAACTGTAATTGTAAAAGAAACTGTATTATAGTGATGAACTGACTGTTAGGAAAATAGGAGACAATGTGCTACGAATCAGTGGGTAATGTACTGTGTGAATATATGTAGTGCGAGTTTGATATCTGAATGTTTAGATTGAATCATTAGAATCATTAGAAAAGCTAGACCACAGAGCACTAAAATAGCAGAAGCTAGACAAATATACTGCGGGGACAGTATTAATATTTTTTTTAGTACTATTTTTTTTTCTTATGGATTATAATGGCATAGGGCTGTCGCCTGCGCTGACGGTTTTCTGGCGGGGCACCAGTGGAGGATGATAAGATGAACATGAGGTCTGGTCAGTAAGCCCATCGTGGTAAATTCATCATGGATTTATAAGGATTGTTTCCAGGAGGTTACTGACATGGTACATTTGCTAGGAATGGGGTTATTAGTCCACATTACTCAATATTTTCCCCCCGACGGTATTTACTTCATTATTTTAAACTGGCAGGACGGTACGATGTTGATTTTGATCCTCATATTCGGTTCCGAAGTTTGTACAAACGGCTAGTGGTTTAGCACACTGGTTTATCGCTTCTAATGGTGACAGGTTCGTTTCTTTGCACGGTACAAACATTTGTATTCATATATATTGTTTGTATTGGTCTGAGTGTATATTATATCTTACCTGCAACCGCGAAATCGTCCACGTGGAATTTAACTTTATTTTTCTAAACTAAAAGTAGCCTAAGTTAATCCTTATTACATCAGCTACCTGCCAATAAAAGTCCCGTCAAAATCGGTCCAGCCATGTCAGAGATTAGCCGGAACAAACAGTCAGACAGACAAAAATTGTAAAAAATGTTAGCTAGTAAATATATATAATAAATGGTGGTACCGTCTTGTTAGTTTACACCAGTGATTGTATACCACGACATACCACGCGATGGTGACCATTTATTGGATGGACCATTCGTAAAATTGTAATTAATGATATAAATGTACTCCTTAGCAATTTTTTTTAATGATATCAAATCAGACCGGATGTTATGACTTGTATTGTGTCTGTGTTTCTTCATTGTTATTCATAGATGGCGCTTGGCGTACCTAAGAGACGTACGCGTATTAATTTTTTTTAATTTATTTATTGTAGTATCACAAATTTGGGACTGTTTAGAGATATAGAAGGTCAATTGTTAATATTTGGAAGTGTTCACATTCTTTTTATTGTTTGATGATCTCTTTTTGAGGGGGCTATTATACTATTATATATAAAGGAGCATTGTGTTGTATTTAATATAATATGTAATTAATTTTATTTATATCCTAGTAAATTCTAACTCGTAGATAATTTTTACCGTCCAATTCAGTATATAGATCCAATTGAGAAGAACTGGCAAGAAACTCAATATTACATAAATGATTGATGAGATCTATGTTTGTTACTGTCTGAAATAAAAAATACGGAGCGAAATCAAATGAAATTTGATACATAGATAGATCATATTCACTTTTTAATCTAATCCAGGCAAGCAGCGCTACAGGATATAGTATACATAACTCAGGAATGTCTAAATACGATTTTTTTATCTATGTTGTACAAAGCGAATTTAATGTCATATGGCATTATCTACTAGCTAGCTACGATTTTGTGAAACTTGATATATTAAGTGATTATTTTATAGATTGTTCTTCGTCTTAGGCATCAATTAATCTAAATATATAGAACTCAAAGGTGACTGACTGACTGACATTGTGAACTATTAACGCACAGCCCAAACCACTGGACGGATCGGGCTGAAATTTGGCATGCA